TTGGATCTGGAGGACTTAAGCCCCGTCCACACGAAGTCAAAACGAACACGAAGCGCTAATATTTTCCAGAACGTTTGTCGTAAAGACGGAGACGTAAAATAAATGTGATCGTCCACACGAATGCATGAAAACGCTGCAAAATGTATGCCAGGCCTGTAAGTGGCGCTGTCGTGCCAAAGCAAAAATAGCCGACGAAATGTTGGGCATGCGCAGTAATATTTATACATGGTTGCCCTGCGGGTCCATTTTCGTGGTTCAGTCAAATTCAGGTGCTGAACTATGTGGTCGATATTGCTCTGTTCTTCCTGGAGATATTCCAGAAGATGAAGATTCTGTTGTAAGCCCGACAGCAGGGTGAGTAGCATGAGCAGCAACCATTCAACACAGTACGGCGCCATTGTTGTTGTGATACTGTGTCGCGCATGCGTGTTTAGAGGCGACGCTATGACGCATGCGTGTAAGAAAAAAAATGCGGTTAGAGCTTAAAGATGGAAACGCGAAAACGGCGTTTCAGAATCTTCCCACTCTGAAGGCTGAATAAAAAAAAGATTGTTTACAGCCCCCCGAAACGCCGGCTTCGTATGGATGAGAGGCTGGTTTGGTGAAAAATTTGTGCGTTTAGGCCAGGGTTTGACTTCGTGTGGACGGGGCCTCAGTGTCTGCATTTGCACAAGCCAAGGCCCGTAAGCAGCAATTCTGGAAGCAGCATAGGACCCCAATAATTTCACTACACTTACTATACTTTATATTTTGTACAAAGTTTATATTGGGTTTTTAAAGTAATTTACTGTTTTTTTTTTATTTTATTATACATTTATTTTAATTTATTAGTTTATTCTTTACTTTTATTCTTTTATATTTTCCAAAATAACAAGGTTGTTCATGTTTAGAACATTTAGAATAAAAAAAGTTTTATTTAATACATTTTTCTTTGGTGTCAGATTATTTATAGCCTAACATAATGGTGATGAACACTGGTCAGTAGGGCCCCCTAGGATTTTTTGCTTGGGGCCCCCACAGACTCTAGAATCGCCTCTGTAGATACACCTCAGTAATTAGATAAGCAACTGCCTGAAGTTCAGAGTTTTTCCAGAAAGGCTCTTCTTCTGGGATTTTTTATTTAAACTATTTAGTTTATTTCTATAGAATGGTTCACACACATTGACGACTCCTTGGTCTGTCCCTCCCCTCAGGTCAGGAGTCTGGATGCCATCCTCTACTCCTCAATATCCTTTCACTCACACATGGTCTGGTCTACATTCTTCCACCTACGAAACATTAAGCGCCTCCGTCCCTCCCTTACCAGGGACACTGCCTCTATCCTTATTCACAGCCTCTCTTCTTTTCAGCCTCCCTCATATATCCTTCCATAAACTCCAACTTCTTTAGAACTCAGCAGCTCTTCACCATCTTTTCATCATATTACCGCCATCCCTCAGCAGCTCCATTATCTCAATGCAAAATTTATCTAAAGGTAAGTCATAATTTCTTAAATGAAGCGTATTTACCCTTAATTTGAGTATCCAAATAAGATGATTTGCCAATGGAGTGAGTATTTTTACGCTTATAGTGAGATCATTTGATAAAATGCACTTGAAATAAGACAATGCAGTGTTTTCTCTTATTTTAAATTTAAATGATCTTGTTCCTTCGGCAAAGTGTCTCACTTACCTCCTTGATTCAAGAAACAAATACACTTACTTACTACTTACCTACTTACAAATACACTTACAATTACTCATTTTAGATTTCAGTTTTTGCAGTGCTCCCAGTTCAATTCCGATTACACTCTAAAGGAAAAGTGCGGTCATATTCAGAAAGTTCTTTAAATATGAAATTATTCCATCCTGTTCAATAAATGATCAGTCTTTTTAATTCAGAGTAATTTTCATTTGAATGTGCTTTACTGGAGGCATCCATGTTTGTCAAAGAACACTACTGCCACCTACTGGTTTGTGACGTCACGTTGCAGTATCGGCTGTTGATCAAGTCCCAGCGCTGTATCTGGTGTTTGTCACATTGCGCTATTATCCAAGTCATCTTGAAAACATTCTTCTTCCAAATGTTGGCTACATATTACGTGGTTTTTCTCTGGCCAGAAGTTTGTTGGCAAATCTTCCCTCTTCAAGTTGGCAATCCAACGACCGACCCGTCCGTGGAGGATCAGGAATCAGAAAGGTGAAGTAACTCTTTGGGCCGGATTTATCAAGATCCAATTTTGCGTGCAGTAATTTGCGCTCGCAAACTGGAATTTTGCGCGAGGGGCTGAACCATGGTTTGCGGGTGATTTAACAAGAGTGATTGCGTAACTGGTGGAAGGTGCAAAACTGTTGGAGACGCCCTATTTAAATTATGGTTTTGCGCGTTTTGTGGTTTGTGGCAAAGTAGTTTGTAGTCTGTACAAACTACTAGTGCATTAAGAAATTTAAATCTTACAGTGACCCCCAACAAAAAAAATAAAAAATAAAATATATATATATATATAAATTGGCAACCTTTATTCCCTAAGGTGGTATGTGCTGCAGTAAAAAAAAACAAAAAAAAAAAAACAGGTGTTTTGTATTGGCCTGTGACTGTGGATGAGATCCCCGCAGCATTTGGCACGTTGCTCCACAGGCGCAGGGGGAGAACCCCGACCCCGTCGGACAGCACTTCTGAAAAAACGAGATTGGGAGATCCCAGCTCTCGCTGCAACCGTACGCTGGAATGACCCAAATGCAAAAAAGTGCAATGTTGCAAGGAATTTTGTGATATCTGGTATTGCGTGGGTCCTCCTTGTGGCTGGCTCCAAATCCATTCGGAGTTCCCCCAACAGCTCCAAAATGGCAATGCTGGATAAACGATATGTTTTGATGATCGTTTCCTCGTTCATTCCAAAAATATTTACACGGAGTGAAAAAATGCGTTCTCTGCGTCTCCTTGCTTCATTTCGATGTCTCCTTCTTGCGACAATAACCGCTGCCATGTGTGCGCAATTACGCATACAGACCATTTGCACCTTCTTTTGAAACGTGTTAAATATAGAGTCAGATACCGTTAGCAAAATTGCTTTCAGGTTTGATAAATCTCTTTGCGAGTGCTAAATTAATATATTTACATGTTCTCCTCCCACAAGACGCACTTTTGCGTGTAAACGCCCCATATTGCATATTCATTGCAGAAAAAGTACTAAATGGATAAGAGGCGCTATTTAGCACGTTTTAAAGACCAAATCCTTTTAGCACGCTGTTGATAGATCAGTTTGTACATTTTTTAGCGTGCGCAGTGAAATAGCTCACGTTTTTATACACGCAAACCTTTGATAGATCCGGCCCTTTGTTTTCACTTTTACCTGATGTATTCCAGCATCCAGCTGCCATGCACGTGGGCATTGTCAGTTTCACTATTGCTCTGGTGAATTTCAATGGTGAAGTCCTCTGGAAGTCTTCAATAATTGTTGTTGTTTGCAGATGTGTCTAGTAGTTCCCATTGATTTTGCTTGTAAAGCGGGGAGAATGGCGCTAGGCTTACCGCACCGTGACGTCACTGCTGGAAGACGGCAGGAGGGAGGGGCTACTTTTTTACTGATTAACGCTAAATTCATTAAATCACCACGAACGTATTAGTTTTAGGTGAATATAATGACCCATTGATTATTCCTTACTAATCAGACTTTTCCTTTAAAATCATTCTGTATACTTTCAAAGCCATCCACAAGCTTGCTCCTCCATATCTATCAGGCCTCCTTCACATCGCCACCTCCTCCTGCCTCCCTCAGATCCTCCTCCATCCACCTCACTGTACCCCAGCTCAACTTGTCAGCATGGGGAAAAGAGCCTTTTGCAGCTTGAGTTTTCTAAACCAGACACTAAACCCGCCTGTTCCAGCTTGCCTATTTGTAAATACACTGTTCTTGTCCCTCTCTATAACTCTTTTTTTCTGTTCTCTATATTTGTATTTCTACTGTTTGTGAAGTGACCAGAATGTCTAGAGAGGCGCTTTTAAATAAAATGTAATATTATTATTATAACACCATTTCACAAGACACGCCATTTTTACGCACTTTACAGAGACAGTTTGATTTAATCAGAGATCGACTCACTGGGGGGTCCTTAAAGAGAAAATATCCATCAAGCAGCGCCTGTGTGGATAGAACTAGATGATGTCCAAAAGTCCATCTGTGATGTCCCAGTTAAGCAGGGGTCACCAACCTTTTTAAAGCCGAGGGCTACTCCATGGCTACTGAGTCATAAGGGCTACTAAAGCTGACCAATGAACTGGAGGGGTCAGCGTTCACCTAAACCCTTTTACAGTTGCCTTTTGTATCTTTGCTTCTTTTTCTATGTCTGCTTCTGTCTCCTTGAACCACAGTCGGCCTCCGCAGATGGCTGCTCACACTGAGCCTGGTTCTGCTTGAGGTTTCTTCCTGTTAAAAGGGAGTTTTTCCTCTCCACTGTCGCTACAATCATGCTTAGTGTGAGGGATTGCTGAAGAGTCAATGAGTCGATGCAATCAGCTGGTTTTCCTTAGATAGAAAACGTTGAATCAATCTGACTGGATGATCTGGTGAACTGGAAAGTGACCTGAGATGACATGATGTGAATTGGAGCTATAGAAATAAACTGAATAGAATTGAATTAAACCTCATCTATGATAAACACACTGTTATTGTTAACTTTTAATTTCTAATTTTCTTTTCAATATTGCCATTTTCAAATCCCTATAAATACTTAAATGTTCTATATGTTTACTGTTATGAAATTTTCTATAAATGATTAAATGGAAGAGCGACAGAATAAAATAAAAATAGAAAATACTATCTAATGAGCAGGTTGACTGTTTATTCATGTCTTTACTTTGTCAGCTTCTAAATACGGTTTTCTTTCTTTCAGATTTTTAACATTTTAAAAACATTTTCTAAAGTTAAAACTTTTGTTCTGAGCTCTAAACAGTAAATATTTTGCGGTGTACCTAATAAAGTGAATGCTACGATTATCTGGTTAACAGAAAACTTCTAAAACCTGGAAAGTCTGTCGAACATGTTGACGAGCTTCATGGCCTCGTACTCCTTCTGCTCCTCGCTCATTCCCTCCATGGGGTTGGGCTGCTCCTCCTCCACTACGCCGGTGATCAGGTTTATGCTGGAAACATCATCGGCACACTTAACAAAGTCACATCAAGCTTAGAAACATTGCTTTAAGGCAGAGCAGAGCGTTTTCACAGCTAATTCCTCATTTTTAACGAAAAATGTGAATAAAAAAATGATTCAGTCAATAACTATGAGACTTGTTTAACAGATTTTAAATACTTTTTAAAAACAATATTTAAGCAGATATCAAAAGCACTTTTCATTTAGCTCAGATCTCTGCATTAAAATGTTTTTATTGATCTAATATTCTAACACCATATGAGGCGTTTTCTACGGAAGAGAATTAGGGCCACTGAAAAAAAAAAAAGGTTAACTGATTTTTAAATTTTATTTCAGTTTAGTATGGGAAAAAAGTCAGAATTCTGACTTTTTTTCTCAGAATTCTTACTTTAATCTCAGAATTCTGACATTTTTCTCAGAATTCTGACTTTTTTCTCAGAATTCTGACTTTTTTCACAGAATTCTGACTTTTTTTCTCAGAATTCGGATTTTTTTTCTCAGAATTCTTACTTTAATCTCAGAATTCTGACATTTTTCTCAGAATTCTTACTTTTTTCTCAGAATTCTGACTTTTTTTCTCAGAATTCTTACTTTAATCTCAGAATTCTTAGTTTAATCTCAGAATTCTGACATTTTTCTCAGAATTCTGACTTTTTTTCTCAGATTCTTACTTTAATCTCAGAATTCTGACATTTTTCTCAGAATTCTTACTTTTTTCTCAGAATTATGACTTTTTTTCTCAGAATTCTTAGTTTAATCTCAGAATTCTGACATTTTTCTCAGAATTCTGACTTTTTTTCTCAGATTCTTACTTTAATCTCAGAATTCTTACTTTTTTTCTCAGAATTCTTACTTTTTTCTCAGAATTCTGACTTTTTTTCTCAGAATTCTTAGTTTAATCTCAGAATTCTGACATTTTTCTCAGAATTCTGACTTTTTTTCTCAGAATTCTTACTTTTTTCTCAGAATTCTGACTTTTTTTCTCAGAATTCTTACTTTAATCTCAGAGTTCTGACATTTTCCTCAGAATTTTGACATTTTATCTCAGAATTCTTACTTTAATCTCAGAATTCTGACATTTTTCTCAGAATTCTTACTTTTTTTCTCAGAATTCTTACTTTAATCTCAGAATTTTGACATTTTTCTCAGAATTCTTACTTTTTTCTCAGAATTCTGACATTTTTTCTCAGAATTCTTACTTTAATCTCAGAATTCTAACATTTTTCTCAGAATTCTTACTTTTTTCTCAGAATTCTGACTTTTTTTCTCAGAATTCTTACTTTCATCTCAGAAGTCTGACATTTTTCTCAGAATTCTGACTTTTTTTCTCAGAATTCTTACTTTAATCTCAGAATTTTGACATTTTTCTCAGAATTCTTACTTTTTTCTCAGAATTCTTACTTTTTTTCTCAGAATTCTTACTTTAATCTCAGAATTCTGACATTTTTCTCAGAATTCTTAGTTTAATCTCAGAATTCTGACATTTTTCTCAGAATTCTTAGTTTAATCTCAGAATTTTGACATTTTTCTCAGAATTCTTACTTTTTTCTCAGAATTCTTACTTTTTTTCTCAGAATTCTTACTTTAATCTCAGAATTCTGACATTTTTCTCAGAATTCTTAGTTTAATCTCAGAATTCTGACATTTTTCTCAGAATTCTTACTTTAATCTCAGAATTTTGACATTTTTCTCAGAATTCTTACTTTTTTCTCAGAATTCTTACTTTTTTTCTCAGAATTCTTACTTTAATCTCAGAATTCTGAAATTTTTCTCAGAATTCTTACTTTAATCTCAGAATTCTGACATTTTTCTCAGAATTCTTAGTTTAATCTCAGAATTCTTACTTTTTTTCTCAGAATTCTTACTTTAATCTCAGAATTTTGACATTTTTCTCAGAATTCTTACTTTTTTCTCAGAATTCAGATTTTTTTTCTCAGAATTCTTACTTTAATCTCAGAATTTTGACATTTTTCTCAGAATTCTTACTTTAATCTCAGAATTCTGACATTTTTCTCAGAATTCTGACTTTTTTCTCAGAATTCTGACAGCTAACAAACATGTTAGCATCAAGCCATAGCCATGTCTGTTTTAGAGACTAGCTCTCTTGTTTTAATGACCTTCTGCTCCTCTATTAATTAGGGGACCCCCGGGCACATAAAAAGTTGCCTAATTCCGTCATTTTCCACCAACGTGTCACTGGCCCTCTCAAACAACTCACATCTTTGTCAGTGAAGCTGAGTGCTCCCACATCTCTGCCTTCATGGTGCCCATCTACATTAAGATCCAAAATTCTGAGATTAAAGACAGAATTCTGAGAAAAAAGTCAGAATTCTGACTTTTTTCCCCATACTTAATTGAAATAAAATTTTAAAACCAGTAAACTTTTTTTTTCCAGTGGCCCTAATCCTCTTCCGTAGTTTTAATTATCGGAATACATGTATTAAAATCAGTAAATGGGCCATATAGTGAAGCTTAAAGTATAATAATCTCACCTAGAATGACGAATTGATTGAACAACGGCAACAGAAAAGAGAACTTTTAACTTAATACTCTGAGCTCTGTGAGCGCTAACCTGGAAGCTGCTGCTGCAGCAGTGCATGCTGGGACAGCTGTCAGTCTGGAGAATGGACAAGTCTGCTTATTGAGAAACGGCCCATGTCTTCTGTAACGGACTAGCCCAATTCAAGTTAGTGATTGTCTCCCCCAAGTGGTCTGGAGCACTTCCGTTATTCTGAGCAAGTTTCCAGCTTTTCTTAATGTGAAGTTTGTTTTGACTATTTAGAGCTTTATTCTATTCATTTTGTGTTTGCGTCTTGACATCACTATGCGTTTGTAGCGTATTGATGTATTTGCATTGCATTTGTAGTTTATTGCTTTCTAGTTTCTGTGATTGGAGCCTCATTTCCACTACCCCTCTGAAACTGATCCGTGCCGAGTTCCGATCGAACTTGGATCATTTAAACGTGCCGAGCTTTGTTCCTTACGACCATTTACACATCACGCTAGCACGGTTCCTTGCCTCCTAGTGGCGGTCCACGATACTACAGCTCTCCAGGCAAGAATTACTCAAACAAAAATGGCGCCGCCCATAACATTCAGGAAATTATGTGCCTGATTAGCAGCTTCCACCAAATTCAGCCCAGGTTGCACCGCGCTCTTTTGGTGCCATTTATTGTTAATAAACTGAGAAGAAGTTCGCATTGTGAGCAAGCGAAGAGATCTGTGAATAGCAAAGCTGGACTCGGCGGAAAACCTGCAAAATGAGTCAGCTGACTGTAAATAGGAGATGAGGCGGTCTGCTCATGCGCTCTTTATCAGAGAACCGAGCTACTGATGAACTGGTACTCTCTAGACTATTATCTAGAGACTATTAGTAACAGGAAGTGAAATGTAGCTCCAGACAAGCTTTAAATGTGGTGATGTCATCAGTACGCTTCTGTTCTAATTGACCCAGATTTATCATTATTTTTCCTCCCTATTTAAATATAAATTGTCATTTAAATAAGTCTGACCTACTCTGATCATTATTACTTCTACCTTTCTGTTTATCTCATTATTGTTTCTATTTATATTGAATTTTGCGCTGTTGTACAGTGTTAGAGTTACTGACTGGGGTTTGGCCTCTCTGTACTCTTCGGTCTCCGAGTCTTCATCTTCAGAGTAGATCCCAGAGTCTCTGCTCCCTCTGAGCAGACCCCTGGCAGCCAGCAGACCAGCAGCGTTACCGTATCCAGTGTACTTGATGAACCGTGAAACTAGACAAAGAAATCTGAGGTTAGACTGGTTGATCTGATAAAAGAGACGTGATTCTTTGGCCTAATATTCTCCAGACAGGAGACGCACAGTCTGCAGCTAGTGAAGGGAAGCAACCCGATCCAAGATTAAGTGCAGCAAATAATCCTGTTTTGATTTTCTGATGTATCTGAACTCATTTTTGAATTGTATTTTAGTAATACTGTCCTGAAGTAACAATACTTTTACAGTAAATAGATACTGTACTGTAGACCGTTTTAGAATTTCAGTTAATAATTGGATTATTTTTTTTATATGTTACTTGGTGGAGTGCCGTTCTCCAAGATGGCCTTTATCTAACACCATTTAGTCATGTTCAGACTTCAAACTTCTGAAAGTACTTTAAATAATAAACGATAACATACTTAATGTTTCTGCCACCTACCTTCTCCTTTAAAATCTTTTTTTTTTTTTTTTTTTGTCATGTTTGTTTAACGTATCTATAAACCTTGGCAGTGAACAGATATTTCTCTCACCACTTTCTTTGCAGAGCACAAAGAGGAATTCAGCAGCACAGTTCTTGACATCGGTGTCGATGTGCGTCATGAGACGGACTAATTTGTTCCTCAGAGCATTTCCCACCTCTGGCCTGTTTTTCACGTCGCGAAGGGGTGGCAGCACCTTAAGACAAAAGCAGAAGAAATTCCCCAGCCGTCAAAAGCAAACATGCTGATTGGTCAGAGCTGTGGCTCGGCGCCGCACGGACTTTTGACCTGAGGAATTTCCTGGTCTCTCGATGGATGCGGGAACTCTCAGTCAGCAGGTTCAGAGATGGCAGAAGAGTCTCCTTCAGCTTCTGGCCCTGGAAAAAAAGACACTCCGTTAGCTGCTAATGCGGAGACATAAATAAAACAGATAATATCGACATCATTATGCTGCATTCAGGCTTAACTCGTGTGCTGCTACCCTATCCTTTCTTTTCCTGGAACAATGGCAGCTATATTAGCTGTGATCAGTGGTAAAAAGTAGTTGAATCTATTTTGAAGTGAGAAAGTCCTCCTGAAAACATGGTCTGTGCAGTCAGTTCATCCAGATTACCATCCTGCCTTCAAAGATTATTTCTCTGTGGGAGCCGCTCAGACCCCCACATACCAGCGGTGCGCTGTCACTGGGAATCCCCAGCAGCAGCTGCCTCAGGCCCGCGCGCCTCTTGAGGATTTTCTCCTACTGTTGGTGGCGGCTGGAAGTACATGTTAGCGTTTTTCAGGTCTGTGCTACAAACTGCAGGCAGCAGGATAATAAAAGCGAACATATTCTGCCGGCAGGTTTCTACATTTAAGTTAAAGGTATAGTGGAGGATGTTCTTTTTCTGAGTAGATCATAAAGATAGGTGCTCCTACTAACTGTCAATTATTCTGGTGATATGTTTGCGTAAGGCCCTCCATTGTCCTCGTCCTCATTTTCACTTACTGATGGTGAGTCTGACATAGTGGAAAAATTGCAGATCTTTTTTCCCCACATGTTTATTAGACGTTCCCTCTCAGGAGCGGGTACAGGGTTGAGCATGTGCATTTTTTTTTTGTACGTTTTTCAAAAATTCGTGAAAATCCTCCACTATACCGCTAATTGAGGCTTTAATAAACTGTTTCAGAGGAGTGATCATAGCGCTCTGCATCAGCAGTGCTGTGTCTGTCTCCCTGCCAGCTCCCAGATCAGCTTGTCTCATTGGTTGATGTGGCGCCTTGTCCAGCAGCTAAATTTCAATGTTTCCACCTCCAGTAGCTGTTGCTTCTGAAAGCGCGTCAGATGTTCAGATGCTCATGAGACGCTGCTTCAGCTGCTCAGACGCACTGCAGGATCTTTTGCTGCGCCTTGATACGCGTCAACCATTGACTTTGCATGTAAACCAGCAGCTTCTGCTGCCTGCGGCCTGAATGTAGCATTAAAACATCCAAAGGCTGCTGCTCTGTGAGGGAGGAATCCTCAACAACCCTACAGTTAACCATCGACAGTCTGTCCTACTGCAGGATGCAGTGAATCAGAAAGGTTTTTCTATTTCAAATGCATGAAGAACTGTACAGAAGTTCCATTTAATTTTGTCCAGCTCCTGGTGAACAAGAATCGACAAAAAGTGAAGCACTGAGTTAAGCAACAAGAAGGTTGGATAACGTGACTCCCATTCTGAGTGCTGATGGGCAGCAGAAGGCATGGGGAAAGCGGGCCTTTTATTAGTGATGGGCCGTTATCAGCGTTAACGTGCTGCATTTTCTATATCTAGTGTCTTCAATTTGTTTTCTAGTAGATCTTCTGTTTATTACCTCTGATTTCTCCTTCATCTCTGCTCTTCCTTTCCTGATTAAATCTATGGATGCAAGACTTGAACAATTGGACAATTTGGGGTTCAGCAATCCATGTAGATTAAAAACGCATAGTTTTACAATAACTATCAGCTTGGATATATATAAAATCACATTTCTTTTTCTTTCTTTTTTTCCCTTTTTTGATGATAACAGTATTTAACAATAAGACATATTATTTATCAGCATTTTTAATAAAACAAATAGATTTGACAAGGTTATTAAGAGCTTTAAAATGCAGAGGAGGATCTTATGGATGCAGTGAAGGTGTTTTAGGAGGGCTGTTGCACAGTTCTATGAATGCAACTCACACCTTGACTTTTAAACTAGTCTATTATGTCTCTTTCTTTGTTCAGACATCATGGCTGCGAGTCTAATAACCAAACACACACAAATTCAAAGACAATTCAAAGATTCCTGTAAATGAATACACCTGATATTACAAACTTTCTAGATTACGTGACCCAGAGGCGTGCACAGACATTTTGCGGGGCAGGTGCTCAGGAGGGGGGGAGGGCACTTTTTAGCGCACGTGGAACACTTACTTATAAAAAAAAAATAATACACGCATGTTGAATGAAATTTGACTTTAATTTGTAACATTCTCTAAACGTGAGTTTTCAATGGAAAAAAGTCACACCACCAACAGAACAGACTAAAGCATACTTCTTTCATCTGGCTCATCTCCCTGTTTTCCCTCACCCATCTGTTCTCCCTCATCCTGGTCTTTTTCTGTCTCTGTGTCTTCCCTGAACTCTTCCTCATCTCCTGTCCTGGTAGATGTTGATGGTATAGAGCTTCCCTGCTGTGACTGGCTACAATATATTAATAATAACCATCATGACAATAATAATGATAATAATAATAATAATTATAATAATAATAGCTTTAACAAATATGCCACATTAGTTTTAAATAATGGGCTATTAGGGCAACATGACTGGAAGTCTTGTCACGTGGATATGACTTATGGTAGCCTACAAAATAATAGCTATTTTAATACCTGCTGATTTTGTACAAACCACTTAAAAATAAAATGTGAACAGCTTTTAGGATTTTTCAATACGATTAACCCTCCTTTCTTGGCATTGTGCTGCAATTACTAAATCAATATACAATTAAGACAATAAAGAGACCAAAATTTATGTTGCCTAACAAAACCTATACAACAGAAAATGTTTGTCTTAACATATAGATTTGTATGGAAGGATTAGGGCCACTGGAAAAAAAAAAAAGTTGACTGATTTTTAAATTTTATTTAAAGGGTTAGGGTTAAAAAGTCAGAATTCTGACTTTTTTCTCAGAATTCAGTCAGAATTCTGAGATTAAAGTCAGAATACCGAGCAAAAAGTCAAAATTCTGAGCAAAAAGTCAGAATTCTTAGAAAAAAAGTCAGAATTCTGAGAAAAAAGTCAGAATTCTGAGATTAAAGTCAGAATTCTGACTTTTTTCCCATACTAAACTGAAATAAAATTTAAAAATCAGTTAACTTATTTTTTTTTCAGTAGCCCTAATCCTCTTCCGTAGATTTGCAATTGCAAACTCTACCGAAATTATTTGTAGCCTATGTGGTCGTCCTCACGTTATCTGTCATTGACTTGGGCTACAGTGTAAAACTTTCAGAATCAGAATCAGGTTTATTGCCATTGTTAGTGAAGGAGTTCACAAACTAGGAATTTTTTATGGTACAATCGTGCAACATGAAACATACAGGTGCTGGTCATAAAATTAGAATATCATGAAAAAGTAGATTGATTTCAGTAATTCCATTTAAAAAGTGAAACTTGTATATTATATTCATACATTACATACAAACTCATATATTTCAGATGTTTATTTTGTTTAATTTTGATGATTACAAATGACAACAAATGAAAATCTCAAATTCATCATATCAGAAAATTAGAATATTACTGAAGACCAATAAAAACAAAGGATTTATAGAAATGTTGGCCAACTGAAAAGTATGAACATGAAAAGTATGAGCATGTACAGCACTCAGTATTTAGTTGGGCCTCCTTTGGCCTGTATTACTGCAGCAATGCGGCGTGGCATGGAGTCGATCAGTCTGTGGCACTGCTCAGGTGTTATGATAGCCCAGGTTGCTCTAATAGTGGCTTTTAGCTCTTCTGAATTGTTGGGTCTGGTGTATTACATCTTCTTCTTCACAATACCCCATAGATTTTCTATGGGGTTAAGGTCAGGAGAGTTTGCTGGCCAATTAAGAACAGGGATACCATGGTCCTTCAACCAGGTACTGGTAGCTTTGGCACTGTGTGCAGGTGCCAAGTCCTGTTGGAAAATGAAATCTGCATCTCCAAAAAGTTGGTCAGCTGCAGGAAGCATGAAGTGCTCTAAAACTTCCTGGTATGTGGCTGCGTTGACCCTGGACCTCAGAAAACACATCACTGACTGTGGAAACTTTACACTGGACTTCAAGCAACGTGGATGAAGTGCCTCTCTTCTTTTCCTCCAGACTCTGGGACCTTGATTTCCAAAGGAAATGCAAAATTTACTTTCATCAGAGAACATGACTTTGGACCACTCACCAGCAGTCCAGTCCTGTTTCTCTTTAGACGCTTCTGACGCTGTCTGTGGTTCAAGAGTGGCTTGACACAAGGAATGCGACAGCAGAAACCCATGTCTTTCATACGTCTGTGTGTGGTGGTTCTTGAAGCACTCACTCCAGCTGCAGTCCACTCTTTGTGAATCTCCCCCACATTTTTGAAGGGGTTTTGTTTCACAATCCTCTCCAGGGTGCGGTTATCTCTCTTGCTTGTACACTTTTTTCGACCACATCTTTTCCTTCCCTTCGCCTCTCTATTAATGTGCTTGGACACTGAGCTCTGTGAACAGCCAGCCTCTTTAGCGATGACCTTTTGTGTCTTGCCCTCCTTGTGCAAGGTGTCGATGGTCGTCTTTTGGACAACTGTCAAGTCAGCAGTCTTCCCCATGATTGTGTAGCCTATAGAACTAGACTGAAAGACCATTTAAAGGCTTTTGCAGGTGGTTTGAGTTAATTAGCTGATTAGAGTGTGGCACCAGGGGCCATCAATTTTGAACCTTTTCACAATATTCTAATTTTCTGATATGATGAATTTGAGATTTTCATTTGTTGTCATTTGTAATCATCAAAATTAAACAAAATAAACATCTGAAATATATGAGTTTGTATGTAATGTATGAATATAATATACAAGTTTCACTTTTTAAATGGAATTACTGAAATCAATCTACTTTTTCATGATATTCTAATTTTATGACCAGCACCTGTATATGGAATAGGTAAATAAAATTATAAAAATATCTAAAAACTGTGGGTATACAGCATGCAATAAAATAGACTAATATATACACTTATGATAAAAAATATGGTTATAAAATATAAAAAGTAAAATAGCATCTTACAAGGAGACAACTAGTTTATCAGGTGACCAGTCGGCAAAAATGCTTGTTTGGTGCTGCTGAGTGAGACATTTTAACGCACAACAAAATGATTCTGCTTGATCTGTATATTACCTGGCTAATGGGGCACGGGAGAAGCAGCCTGTCAGCGACCGTTCCTGCTATCTGAAAACTGCTATGATACTGCGCATCTGGCATGCCCTGCGGGCGACCGCGCGAGTTCACGTGACAAAGGAAGAGAGATACAGTAGGCTGGTCGGCTGGTGGCTCATATTGGGGCATTGTTTCAGTCGTTTTTAATGGCTCAGGTTTTCAAAAGATAATTTCAAAACCGACCTCAGTAAAATCTTAATATATTAATAATAATAAAATAAAATAAAAAACAAGTTTCAAAAGGGCATTTTCTTTGAAAAAGGGCAAACTTCCTAGTGCTTTAGCACCACCTAGTGTCTATGTATGCACGCCCCTGACGTTACCCAAGAGAAGACGGGACTAATTTATAGCAGACACATGTTCTTCTTCAAGGCTGTAACTCTTTGACTGTTTCAAATATCTCAAATATCCAAAACGTACCAGAAGGAAGAGAAAAAGGCTTGCGACCCTAAAGACAACTAGGTTATAATTGTAGGACTTCTGCTGCGCAGTGACCGTCCAATCACAGACCAGATTCAGTGGCGCAGCAAATGTCCCAGACTCACTGATCGCAACGAAATTTGTTTTTTATTATTTTTTTACTGATTAACACTAAATTCATGAAATCACCGCAAACGTATTAGTTTTAGGTATAAATAATGATCCATTGATTATTCCTTGCTAACCGGATTTTTTTACTTTGATAAATTTTGTTATTTCTATAATTTTTGCAATGCATGAGGATGAATGACTGAATGCAATCAGCTGGTTTTTCCTTAGATTGAAAACTTTGAACTAATCTGATTGGATGGTGTGTTTGTTCTGTTTCTTTGCTTCGATATGACCTGTGTTGAATATATATGATAGAACTAAACTGAATTGAGCGGCAAAGACTGTTGGTAAGCTGCAACCCTCCAAATGGTTGCATCTGCATCATGGATCTCAGAAATAAATCCTGTTTTCCTACCCGTTCCAGTCTTTTCTCCATGAATTCCAGCAGCATGTTCACAGCCTCCATGTTGACTCCCATGTACTCGATGGAGCCCTGTTCCACCTTGGGGAGTAGCAGCACGTCCAGACACAGCAGCGGCAGGTTCCCCAGCAAATTCACAGTATGGCTGAGAACAGAAGGAGACAGAATGAAGAGGTGGGCCTTGGAGGGGAGCGGTGAGCGTGAAGCGTTATCATACCTGTGGAACTCCTCGCTCCTCTCCTCTCCATCTGCTCGGCTCATCAGGCAGTGTCTGAGGAGAGCGCCCAAGTGTCGGTACTCCGCTGCCTCCTCCTTCAATCACACACACATGGACACACATTGCATGAAGTCCGTTCATGTGTTCTGAACAGGGCAGTCATCTGTTTCGCCCTGCGCTATGTCAGCCTCATTTAGCACAAAGCAACATTACAGAGAGAAATGGATGGAGCAGAGCCTCTCCTGATGCTGGCCAGTTAGGCATCAGGGAAGCAGGACAAACAGGAAGTCTGACGTCTCCCCTGTCATCCTGGCCTCATTAGGATACAATTAAGAACAACAGTGAGCTTGCCAAAGCGTGGCTCTCCTCACCTCGTCAACCTTTCGTCGGTTTGCATCAAATGTGATGTTAAAAAGGATTTTCAGTATTTCCATGGCTAACTCCGTCTGCTGCCTGCTTAGCGGGGGCAGCTCCTCGGGTGGGACTCCCTCATAGCCTTTCCTGGCCGTCACCAGTGGATCTGGCCAACAGAGACACAGGGTGGCTTCTAACTGGTTGCCTGGGAAACAGGAGAGACAGGAAGCAGTAGAGGTGTCAAAAGTATTCATGTTTATTACTGCAGTAGAAGTATAAGTTTAGAAACATAAAGTTAGAGGATCAACTTTAGCTTTTTACTCCAGTAAAAGTATAAAAGTACCTTTTTTAAAACTACCTAAAGTATAAAACTAAAAGTAATGCAGGAGAAAATGTTACGGCCAGAAGCTTTACTGCTTTAAAGGAACAATTTTCTATAATTCTGGATGATAACTTCCTTAGACTTAATTTTCTTAGTTTTATAACTAATGGTAACAGAGTCACATTTAATTTTGCATCTTGTGGAAAAACTATTTATTTAGCTATGTGATGATCGGGGGGGATTTACCATTAGGCAATACTAGGCAGTAGCCTAAGGCCCCAACTATTCCTTATTTTTGCACATTAATCATGTTTTTTTATAAAAATCCTTTGGCTAAAATGCCATCAGAACGCTGATAATATCAAGTGTGTCTCAGCCCCCCCCCCTTCAGTGTCCACCACATGAATCAGTCCATTTGCTTCACATGTTCAGAAAGGTCCAAACAGACAGCAGTAAACCATTTGAAAACAAACGATACAAAGAGCAGTGTTGCTAACTTAGCGCTTTAGTCGCTATATTTAGCCCCTTTTCAGACCCCTCTAGAACTTTGATTTCTAAAAAGCTCCTAGCGCCAAATGTAGCGACTTTTTTCTGCTACTGGAGACTTTGGAGACAACATCTAAAAGCAGCGAACTCTGCTCTCCAGAGCAAGTAGATTGGTAACCCCGCCTCCTGCTCTCCTCTATCTTGTCTGCTGTCATGATTCATGCAGCTATTATTTCATCCAAATGAAAAATGGAGAACAGAGAAGCAGATCATGGCTTGTCTACAGTGAAAAGAAGGACTGGGTTATTTACTTTGGCCTTTTTGGAAACACAGGAAGGAGCAATCAGCTAAGTGAGCTTAGTGCTTGGAAAAAATCTTTCATTCCTTTAGAGACAGCATGAAAAGTAAGCTGAGAACAAAACATAGAGAGGAAAACAAGAAGAAAAGGGACAAGAAGAGAGGGACAAAATCTAGAACAGATAATGGATCTCTATTCTATTAACATTTCTCTATAATGGGTCTGTTCTATGTGTTGTCTTCTCAATTCAGAGAGGCCCCCTGCCTACATTTGCCTAGGGCCCCAAATTTCCTAAATCTGCCCCTGTAAAACCTGAGGTTCACTATAAATAGGAACGGATTCGGTGAACGCCATTCATGCACATCACTGGAAAGCAGGACGCTGAGATGGAGGACTTGAGAAAGTGTGGAGAATTCCAACATTAACAGAATGTCCAATAAAACACACAAAGTACCTTGAGACCAATATCTTCTCATTATCTGTTTTCTTTTGCTCACAAAAACTCAAAGAGCTTTTGGTTCCCTCATAGTAACAATTTCCACTTCTAACTTTACTTCTAAGTTGGATCTTATCTCGCCAACTATGTTTTAACCTGAGAACAATATTTTTTTACTTTTCCACCTCTGAAAATCAGTGCAGGCAACAGTAGGCGTTCGGCTGAAAGTCAAAAATTTTGAGGTTCACATTTGAAAGGCTGCCTTGGAAAACAACAGAGAATTACCTAGAAGTTTGATTCCATGAAGCTCCTGGGCCAGCTGTGCACGGACATCCACCCTCAGCGCCGTCAGCAGGAAGGTGAGTCGCAGATCAGAGAAACGGACCTGGAGAGAATAAAAACCAAATGAAACAAGCCGAATATGAAACTGAAAAAAACATTTAGAATAACATGTAATGATGTTTTGATGTTTAAAGAGGCTATTTGGTGGTTTTATGTTAATTTTACTTCCTTAATGTTTGTTTCCAGAAACGGATTAACTGTAGAGTCAGCATTTTATAGGTTTACAGTAAAAAAATCTTTTCCCATAGGTCCTCTCCTGTTGAACCAACTACCAGTTTTAGTCCATGAGGCAGACATCCTGTCTACTTTTAAGGCTAGACTTAAAACTTTCCTTTTTGATAAAGCTTATACTTAGAGTGGCTCGGGTTATCCTGAGCTATCTCTATAGTTATGCTGCTAGAGGCTTAGACTGCTGGAGGACATAGGGACCCATTTTTCATCATTCTGCTTCATTCTATCTCTATCCTCCCACTCTACAGAATCTGTTAGTTCAATCTCTAACGTTCTGCTCTCTCTGCTTTTTCTCAGAGTAGCTTCATCTGGTCTGTTCCTGTTTGGCTGTGACTCCATCCTGGAGAGAAATATCAGCTGTGCTGCTGCCCTCAACACCTTTGTTTCTAGATGTTGGAGCTTGGCCTGTTTTTCAGTGTAGTCCTGTTTCTCTGACTGTGACTAACTGGATGTGCTCTCTTCATCCTCTGACATGGGAGCTGGCTCGGAGCTCGTCTGCCTGGCTGTGTGTTTCCTGGACGGGGCTGCCTGTGGAGCTGGTTGACAGTTGCCTTTTGTATCTATGCTTCTTTTTCTATGTCTGCTTCTGTCTCCTTGAACCCCAGTCGGCCTCAGCAGATGGCCGCTCACACTGAGCCTGGTTCTGCTGGAGGTTTCTTCCTGTTCAAAGGGAGTTTTTCCTCTCCACTGTCGCTGCAAGCATGCTTAGTGTGAGGGATTGCTGAAGAGTCAATGAGTCGATGCAATCAGCTGGTTTTCCTTAGATAGAAAACTTTGAATCAATCTGACTGGATGATCTGGTGAACTGGAAAGTGACCTGAGATGACATGATGTGAATTGGTGCTATAGAAATAAACTGAATTGAATTGAAAATAAAATTCAGTTTAAAACACATTTTAAATGTCTATACATGGAAGAAGGTTTTTATTGAGCTTCTCTACCTCATGGTTCCAGGTGGGACGTTTCCATTGCTTAAGTCTCTCTGCTACGCCGGTAATGAGGTGCAGATCTGCTGCTACCACCTGCCAATTAATCAACAAATAAGCTCTTCAACTTTCACAGATTCAAATCGAAAATCCAAGACACGAAAGATGCCACAGGCTGACCTGTCCGCTCTCACTGTGGAGCAGGATGTTACAGATGGACTTCAGAGCCTCAACAATCACTTCTTGGTCAGGGTTTTCTGAAGGAGGGGGGGGCTCCTGTAGCAGCGCACCAGGATCTCCATCCTCCAAATCAGCCGCTTTAGAAGAAAAACTGTTTATTAGCATAACAACATAGCAACATTTATTGAACCTTTATTTAAATGCATTCTAACTGAGATCCAGGATCTCATTTCCAAAAAAATAAATAATAAAAAATTACAAGGCAGGAACAATTAGAAATAATGAAAACATTTATGTCAAACGTAGAAACTTTGTGTATGAACAGAAGGATTTTTGTCTTAAAGGAAAAGTCTGGTCAGCGAGGAATAATCAAGGATCATTATTTATAACTAAAACTAATAGGTTTACAGTGATTTAATGAATTTAGAGTCAATCAGTAAAGTTATAAAAAAATTTATCGCGATCACAGAGTCTGGGAGCGGCCATCTTTGCTCAAATATAGTAACCCCTCCCTCCTGCCATCTTCTGGCAGTAACGTCACGGTGCGGTGAGCCTAGCGCCATTCTCCCCGCTTTACAAGCAGAATCAATGGGAACTACTAGACACATCTGCAATCAACAACAATTATTTAAGATTTCCAGAGGACTTCACCATTGAAATTCACCAGAGCTATATGCTGGTGAAAATTCTCAGTCATCCAGGTCAGAGTCATTCCAAAAAAATTTAAAACAATCCTCTGGACTTTGTTTCCAAGTCTGAAGACGTTTCTTCCATCCAGGAACATTTTTCAATTCAAAATGTCAGAAATAGTTTTGAGCTCCAGGTTTTATCCAGCAGCCCAACAAGCCTTGTTTAGAAAACATGCAAATAGAAACAGATGAACGGGTCCACCCCTTTGGAATGGGGGTCGTTTGGCTTCTTTTGTTAGCCTGCAATGCCCCATACTTGTCTATGTCTCTGAAAGGGGGGTTGTTAAAAGGAATTTTATTCAGCCAGTCCAACAACCTCCTGGTTGGACTGTTTCAATTTGTATGTTTTCTAAACAAAAACAAGGCTTTGTTGGACTCCTGTATAAAACCTGGAACTCAGAGCTATAGTGAAACTGACAATGCCCACGTGCATGGAAGTTGGATGCTGGAATACATCGGGTAAAAGTGAAAAAAAGAAAAATCAATAATTTCACCTTTCTGATCCTGCCAGAGGAAAAAAAAACACGTAATATGTAGCCAACATTTGGAAGAAGAATGTTTCAAGATGACTTGGATAATAGGGCGTTGTGACAAACACCAGATACAGCACTGGGACTTGATCAACAGCTGATACCGCACCGTGACGTCACAAACCAGTAGGTGGCAGTAGTGTTCTTTGACAAACATGGATGCCTCCAGTAAAGCACATTCACATGAAAATTAGTCTGAATTAAAAACAGTTATTTATTGAACAGGATGGAATAATTTCAGATTTAAAGAACTTCAGAAGTTTCTCCATTAAAAGACAAATAACTCCTGTTTTTTATCAGACTGTTGTTCTTTTTATGTTGCATCACTTATTAGCATTAAAGAAGATTAAATCTTGTTCATAAAGTCCTTCTCCGTTTGAAAATGCTTTAAAATCCTTTGTTAGTTTAATAAATGGATTATCCTGGAGCTCCTCCTGTGCTATAGTACCGTCTGATTGGTCTACGTTTCTGTGATCCAGTACAGAGCGTGCATGCCTTCCCTCGGTCAGGGAAGCCATCATTACCTTCATCACATCTCAGTCAGGAGACAAATATGCCTTTGAGGTGTTATTGTGTCTTTCTTAGAAAATGGGAAGCGTGTTTTGAGCTCCAGTTGGAAAGCCACCATTATGTCAGTGACAAACTAAATGAAAAGAAACCTGCACCTCTGTGTCTGGGGTATCACTGCATGTAAACCCATCACATCAAGCTCTATGTCCACTGTTCTAGAGCGCCGCCAGGAATCTGGGGCCCCATGAAAGACACTGACCTCCCCCCCAAAAAAAACAACAAAAACACCAAAAATTGATGCAAGCTTTAACACTGCTATACAGATGGCAAGAAGAGCATCATTAACATTTTCAATGTCATTGTTACTTTACAGTTTCAATGAAGGAAAATTATACTTATACAAAAGGTAACTACACATTAACTTTCAACTTTACATCCAAATCATCCTCTCAAAATAATACCAGCTCATTTAGAACAAAAGAAATGATGTATCTATGTACACATGAAAAAAAAAAAAGGTTTTGCAATTTGAAAATATGTTCCTATTTAGTCTTCAGACAGATTAAAGCAAATAGGACAGATTACTTTTAAGCTGGCACTGAGAATTTATTTTTCCTTCATGAATACATTTAATTGTAATAAAATGCATGTATTTTTGCTTTAGCTGTGTCAGCCTGCTCATGGGATCTGATGCACCATGCAGGACCTGTCTAGAGTTAATCTAAAGGTCTGCATGGTCTGTAGCAATTGATGTTCTCTGTTCTGTAATAGCCTCATCATCTGCAGCCTCCTCTCCACTAGTTTAGGTGGCCTTCCACTTCCTGGCTGTCACTCCAATCACTCCCACTGTGTGAAGATACCACTGAAAGCACGTCAAACCTGATGCTAATGGGGGCATTTAAGATATTGAAAGGCTGAATAACATCTCTCTCTTATCTTAGTGGAGGTTTATTGAGAATTAGGAAGGAACATTTTTTTTGCAGGGTTACCTGGCCCATGATGATGACTGGATTATGAACGAAACAGACTCCCTAAAACATTAATCTTGGATCGATGTGCTGAATGGATCTCTGTACTGAAGCAACTGACCTACCGGACCCACGACCACCAAGTTCATTATAGGTGTTAAACAAAAGGGAAGGGTAGCTGAGGGCATGGTTTCTAAAGGGACACAGTTCAATATGAATAACCAGCACTTTGTGGCATATTTCAGGTTTATTATGTTTAAAATGTTTAGAGTATATATCAAATGTGTATTTAATTTGGGGGAAAATGGGCGTTGCTTCGTGATTCTATTGAAAATTCAAGATGGATCTATAGAGAGATTGGGAGGCATCTAAATATAACAAGAGGATTTATGCTGCATTTTACTACACATATTAAATGTGATATATACCTCAGTGTACTTCTTATCCAAATATCCAGCTTTTTTTTTTTTTTTTGTTGCTGTTAACTCATCTTATACTTACTGACAACCAGAGGTGTTAAAATTATTAATGTTCATTACTGAAGTAGAAGTATAAATCCTGCTGTTTAAAACATTTTTTGGAAGTTAGAGGATCAACTTCAGCTTTTTACTCCAGTAGAAGTGTAAAATTACCATTTTTAAAACCACTAAGTATAAAAGTAATGCAGAAAAAAACAGTTAAGGACAGAAGCTTTACCTTCTACCCTATTAAATAAAAAAAAAATTCTAAAATTCTGGAAGATGAGTTCCGTAGACTTAATTTTCTTAGTTTTATAACTAACGGTAACAGAAATTGTCTGGATGAAACAAATTATTTTGATGTTTTTTATTTTTTTATACCAAGAGTCCATAATAAAAATGAGCTTAAACGAAACAAAACTAACGAGTCTATTTTTAAATGTAAGGATTAGAAAGTAACAAGTTGTAGCAGTATAGATTTCTTCTTAAGGTAACAAGGTATTTGTGCTTTGAGCCACTTTTAAATGGCCACTGTGGTAACCAAACATATTTATTACACTATCCATCCAACATTCATCTCTGCCATGGTTAAAATACACTTTTTTCCCTCTCTTCCTGCGGTTGCCATTGGTAACCATTAGAGGACATCGATCAGCTGCTACTATTAGTTTATCAAATCTGAAATATATCTTTATCGTGCACCACTGTTGGCATTTGGGTGTATGCACTCTTTTAGTATATATCCCACCCATTCCTTGATAAATCAGACCTTTGCTCACCAGCACCACAAAAAAACTGAAAAAAAAAAAAAACAGGAAGACAGCAGCAGGTTTTTTTTTTTAAGCAGGTTGTGTTCAAAGTTCTTAAAAAGCTCAGTTGAATTCAGGAATGCAAACAGACAGACCCCTCCTTTTCCGCTGGAGATCTTTCTTTCTTGATTCATTAATGTTCTATAAGAGTGAGCCTCTCTACCATCAACTCTAAAAGAGTTTTGATGTTTAAAGGATAGAGCTGCTCAGCAGAGCAGTGGGTAGCACTGCTACCTTGCTGCAAGAAGGTTCAGTTCGCGGCCCGGGGTCTTTCTGCATGGAGTTTGCATGTTCTCCCTGAGCATGTGTGGGTTCTCTCCAGGTACTCCAGCTTCCTTCCACAGTCCAGAAACATGACTGTTAGGTTAATTAGCTTCTCTAAATTCTCCTTAGTCTCTGTGTTGTCCCGGAATGGACTGGTGACCTGTCCAGGGTGGATCCCGCCTCTCACCCATAGACAGCTGGAGATAGGCACCAGCACCCCTCGCCACCCCACTTGGGATCAGCATGATGGAAAATGGATATTTAAATGGAAATCACTTGAGCTCTACTGATAAATCTGAAGCGGGGTACTGCCTCTCCCTCCTGCCTCCTCCAGTCCTAATCCAAATCGCTGCAGCTGCCTCCTTTCTCCTCTAATCCGACAAACAAGTATTCCAAGTATTTGTGAAATCGGTACAATATTTACCAAAGTAATTAAAATCATGGAGCCACCAAAAGCATAACTGGGTTTCTGACCTGGCATTTCCTTAATAAAAAAAAAAACTGCATCAAGACTTAAAGGGGTAATAGAACGCAAAACCTAGTTTCCATTGTCATAGATGAAAAACGATAGTTCAATGGGTGAAATGGACGTACAGAGAAGTTCAAACCCCATCAACACCTCCTTTCTCTGCAAATCTCACAATTCTAAACTTCCACCATAAAACGGGTGAATTAAAACAAAGCGAGGTAGATGGAAGACAGCAGCTTAGCTGTTTAGCCTACAGTTGGGTTTACTTCTACAAGAATTATAAAGCAGACAGTTACTCTACTGAAAGTGAGCCAGAAACACGGGTGGAAATGCAGCGTTCCAGGCTGCACGGAGAAAGGGGAACATTTTCACAGTCTTCCCAAGGATCCGAAGACTCAACAGGCATGGATTATTTTTGTCTATCAGAAGATCCATGCAAAGTTTGATGATCAGCTGTTCATTTGCTCTACAGCTTTCAAGATCTTGGACAGTTCAAAGCAGGATTTGCCAAACTTCTTTTACTGAAACGAGGGGCTGTTCCCTCCATAAGGCCATCACAACCGCAAGCTGGAAGGATGATTCTGTCGCTAAGCTGTTGATAGCAATGCTAGCATATCCATGGTGACCAGATTTTAGTTTGGGGCTGCATGGGGGACCATTGTCCAGGCTACCATCACCAGGTCACCGGTTCCCCGGTTTCTGGACCAGCCCCAGAACTGACGGTCAGTTCTGCTTCACTGCAGTTGACCAAAATCATGGACGATTTAGAAATTCCCCCCAGACATTTTTTTAGGTCTGAATAGTAGGACATGTGCGGTAAAAAGAGGACGTCTGGTAACCCTACCATATTAACAATTCAATGTTTCAGTGAGTGAGTGCTTGTTGCTATGATGCATCTTTGCTCAGCAGCTTCGCTCGTTATAAACCAACCAATCAGCTCACAGCTCATCTAAATATTTATGATCATACCATGAAAGGAAGAAAACCTGTCGTTTCATTCTAGGGCTTTTAACCAGGCTGCATTAGGGCTCATAGAACAGCAAATATGCCATTTTCAGCCCAACCAATGTTAGACACCCTATTCAGAGACCTTAAGGACCAAATACCCTATAGAATCATTCTATCACCCCTTTAAGATAAAATATTAACAAAGATGATATCTCTTCTGCTTCTTCTTCTAAAATTATGTTTCATACATATAAAAAGTCTCATTATATAAGCTCCATCTGATATCAGAGATCTGATTGTTCCTTATGTTCCTAACAGAGCACTTTGCTCTCAATCTGCAGGTTTACTAGTGGTTCCTAGAATTTCTAAAAGTAGAATGGGAGGCAGATCTTTGATAAAGCTTAAAGTTAGAGTGCCTCAGGTTATCCTGAGCTATCTATGTAGATACGGTATGCTGTTATACCCTTAGACTGCCGGAGGACAAATCAACCGGTCCCTTGTTGTTTTAAGGAAATCTACTCTTGTAGGAGCAAAGATGCTGATGCCACACACGCTTCTTCTATCTGTGGCAGCCTGACTATGGTGGTAATAGAAATAATAACCAAATAATAATAATTACCTTTGCTCTCCTCCAATAAGCCTTGATTAGTGTGAGCAGGCTGGTCAATGGCAATGCCTGCGTAGCGGGCGAGAGTGAGCATGGCTGAGCGGCCGATGAAGGGATCCAAGCAATGCTTGTCTCTGGTCAGGATTCGAACCGTTTCTAGACACGCCAGCAGACAGGAAGGTTGCAGCTCTCTGTTAAGGAAGTTGAGCAACAGCTCTCCCAGATGCTGTTTAACAAAAACAATCAAATCAGATGTTAGAAGTAGCAATCGGCCACAACCTTCATTCTTATCGTTCAGAAATAACCAAAATAAAATCCTCCTACAAAGTGAAACTTGAATCAGATCAAAAGGCTTTAATAGAAACACTATGCAGCAGAGGAAAAGTATTTGCTCCTTTAATGCTGGCGAATATGGAGATAAATATTGCCATAGGATTTCATTTCACAAATTATCATCCAGTTAACATGATAATATAAAATAAAACATAAAAAATATACAAATTTGTTAATAACAAACTTTTCTTTTTTTAATCTCAGAAAAGAAATTGCTGTAAAAAAAAATATTAATTTACAAATACATATATGAAAAATAAACAATGGCTTCACACGCTAAAGTTGATCGAGATGTTGTTTTTCTTTGATAAAAAAATAATATTACATTTTATTTCAATTGCGCCTTTCTGGACACTCAAGGTCACCATAAAAAAGATAAAAACACAATTGCAGAAACAAAGTCTAAACACAGAATAAAAACCATTATAAAAATACAAAGGCTGGGAAATTAATATCAAAGATAAATATAAACAACAATTTTAAACGTTTTTTGCGTCTCATGCAGCAGGATATGATTCTGAACAAGTGAATCACAACCTGAACAAATAGAAAAAGCTGTTTAATAAAAAAGAAATGCTATTCAAACCAACCTGCCAAATATTAAAAGTAATTGCACCTCAATTAAAACTGTTTTGCAAACTAGAGCGGGCCAAAATGTATCCAGAGTAATAATGAAGACCTAAATCCTGTTATTTCAAGCACTGGATGGCAGCTGACGCCTCCAGCAGGTTTAGGTTTTAGGCACAAAGATTTTTCACTTAGCTCCCAGTTGCTTAGCATAGTTGTGTTTTTTGTTGTTGTTCTTTTTTACATAAAGCAAAATAAAAATATTATAAATACAAACTGAAACAGAATTAATGTAAAAAGGGGGCAAATATTTTTCTTCAGTCCTGCACATAAATGCACATAAATGAAAGGATGTCGCCATACTCGGCAGTTTCCAAGGTCCTGAGTACAAAACATAGAGAGGAAAACAAGAAGAAAAGGGACAAGAAGAGAGGGACACAACCTAGAAAAGATAATGGATGTCTATTCTATTTACATTTCTCTAACTGTAGAATGGGTCTGTTCTATGTGCTGTCTTCTCAGTTCAGAGGGGCCACCTGCCTGTCTTTGCCTAGGGCCCCAAATTTCCTAATTCCAGGTGAGAGTGAAATGTAGTTCTTTCTGTAAAATTGACAGACCATAGTTGCCACAAATGCTCAGCCATGTCTTTGTCCAAACACGTCGTCTCCTTTTCTTTTTAGGACTTTCAGCACAAAATTGCACAAATAGCCAAGGCATGGCGTTTCACTCTAGTCAGCTTCATATTCCTCTTCTACTCGTTGGGCTTCTGAATAGAAGAGTCCGAGTAGCGCCATCTCACTGCGGAGCTGAGTCCCACCTGGTTTTTAGACGTACAGCGTGAGCAGGTACATCGCATCAAAGCGTTGGATCGCACAGTGTGAGAACAAACACGGTGAACTGTGAACTTTTAAACCCTGCGGTTTCTTTGTACAGTGTGAGCTGTAGCTGCGTGTAACAATTGAAAACATCGTACAGTGTATGCCCGACTTTAGGGGACCAGCCAAGGACCCATCAAGGAAAGTGGGGAAATTTTGAACTACTACTGTATAACAACTAAGATCATCTTGACAATTGGTCAAAAGAACTCACATGCATTCACACCGATAAAGACACTAACTGTGTGCTTGGCTGCTATAAAACATCCACAAAACTGATTCTGCTCAGTTTTATCGGCTATAATGAGGAACTAATGAGCAATCAGTTACTTCTTGGGCTTCCTTCTGAAACACAGACATCTCCCAGCCAAAAACCGAGACCAGGAGCTGGTACAACACAGCTGCTAGAGGGTGAGCACCCTGAGAACGGCCTCCCACATGCTGAGGGGGCAGCAGACAGCAACCCCACTGGAGGCTGGACTCAATAACAGCTTTGACTTCATTTAATAAAGCAATCATCATCATCAGCATCTTTTTCTCATTTTTTCCCAGAAGCTTCGGCTGCATGTGGTCTTAGCGTTTTACTAAACTGTTAAAAGATAATAACTAATGAATCTGCAAAGGAACACAGGTTTAGTTCATCGGAAAAAGCAAAGCAGGATCAGGTCCAGATTTTAACCAGAACCTTGGTCTTGATGACCCTGTCTGTTTTCTAACGTCGTCAAACAACCTCTGAGGCCTTCAGAAAACAACTGTAATAATTCTCAAATTGAATTTAACATACATTACCTCTATTTACTGAAAACCGGAGACAAATTTTGCAGATGATTTTACTCAAACATATCAGATTAAAGGGAAATTATTTTCATAAGAAATACAGGACGCAGTTTGTCCCTCGGTGGATAACCTGGGGCGTTTCGTCTCTCAGTTTGCTTCATGATACATTTTGTAGCTTTGCTTCCTGACGCACCAGTTAAGCAAACAGGACAGAAAAAAGCAAATGACAGAAATAAAACAAGATATTACCAGGCCCTCAGTGGAAATCCTTTTATTGAAACGATCTGGGTTGTTAAAGTTACTTTACCTCTCTTTCCTGATTGTCTTCTCTGCTGAATGTGAAGCACTGGCTCATCTGCAAAAAAATAAAAACAGCAACATTTAGTCTGTCTACTTTTAAGGCAAGGCTTAAAACTTTCATTTTTGATAAAGTTTATAGTTAAAAACAGAAAGCTGTGTGCTTAGTCGCTGGGTGTGTAGAGAGGTGAGTGGAGTTAGAGCGTTAACAGCCTGATCTAGCAGGGGGGGATTTGAGTCTGGATAGAGGTTTCCCCCCTTCCTCTCTTATACCTTATCCAAAAAACTTAGGTTGTGCCGAGCTATTTTTTTTACATGTGCTGCTATAGGCTTGAACTGCTGGAGGACATAGGGACCCCTTTTCATCATTCTGCTTCATGTTAGTTCAATCCCTAACTTTATGTGCTCTCTTTCATCCCTATTGACATGAAAACTGTCTCAGAGCTTGTTTGCTTAACTGTTTCTTTCCTAAGCAGAGCCACTGGAGGAGCTAGTGCGCCATTACCTATTCTAACATACAAAGTATCCCCAGTCGGTCTTAGGTGAAGGCTGCTCCCAATGGGACTGGTTGTGTTTCTCTATTTTTCCACTCTGCAGAATCTGTTAGTTCAATCTCTAACGTTCTGCTCTCTCTGCTTTTTCTCATGGTAGCTTCATCTGGTCTGTTCCTGTTTGGCTGTGACTCCATCCTGGAGAGAAATATCAGCTGTGCTGCTGCCATCAACACCTTTGTTTCTAGATGTTGGAGCTTGGCCTGTTTTCCAGTGTAGTCCTGTTTCTCTGACTGTGACTAACTGGATGTGCTCTCTTCATCCTCTGACATGGGAGCTGGCTCGGAGCTCGTCTGCCTGGCTGTGTGTTTCCTGGATGGGGCCGCCTGTGGAGCTGGTTGACAGTTGCCTTTTGTATCTATGCTTCTTTTTCTATGTCTGCTTCTGTCTCCTTGAACCCCAGACGGCCTCAGCAGATGGCTGCTCACACTGAGCCTGGTTCTGCTGGAGGTTTCTTCCTGTTCAAAGGGAGTTTTTCCTCTCCACTGTCGCTACAAGCATGCTTAGTGTGAGGGATTGCTGAAGAGTTAATGAGTCAATGCAATCAGCTGGTTTTCCTTAGATAGAAAACTTTGAATCAATCTGACTGGATGATCTGGTTGAATTGCATGTATAAAGTGACCAGAGATGATATGATGTGAAATGCCACTATAGAAATAAACTGAAACGAATTTAACGCTGAGCTGAAGAACTATAATGAAAAAGATGGACCGAGACAGATAACCGTGAGCATCATCAGAGGCACTTTTACCACTGGAGCTTTGATCACTAATTCAGAAATGCGATATTATACACATTTCATTGAAAGGTCTGGTTTTTCCATTAGTGTTACAGAAAAATAGTGATTAGCTGATTTTATATAGTCTTAGTTTACAAACTGATGCTTCCTCCTTTGATTTCACACAAATGAATCAGAGCAAACAACCCCTCCTCCTCCGCTTAGTCCCATTTTTACTCCATCCGTGCAGGCTGAGCTCACTGACACATCCTGTCTAAGTGCACTTAGGTGGAAAAACACTGTTGTTATAACTTTGAATTGATTTTTGTTTCATTCAATCATACTAATATGGCTTGTTTCATTTGTCTATCTTTCTATTCAATGTGTATTTTATGCAATGTTCATAGTCAGAGCCCTTAGAAAATGCAGTCTGGTTGAAAGTGAGGAAAAACTGGACCTAAGGTCCAGAACAGATGATTCAGCTGATTTGTCAGAAAGCTTTGTTACCTTCAAACCTAAGAGCTCCTTATTGGGCTGGATTTGGTGACTCTATTTGTGTAGCCGAGAGTCTAATCCAATTGCTGTCCAGATCCACTCCCACACAGACTCTGGCTTACAGAACCAAACCCAATAAGTGGATCAGCAGCAAGAAACCATAAGCAGCAATGTTTACAACAGGAAGGTCCTGCGGGGGCTTATTGCATGAAGTGTGCATGTTCACCCCTAGTAATATGCAAGTTCTCACCAGGTATTCCAGCTTCCTACCACATTTGCATAAGGGCCATAGGCTTACTGCCCTCTACCCTCCACCCCAGCCCAATGCCACCCTGGAAGGATAAAAAACAATCCACTGGACTTTCTTTCCAAGTTTTAAGACGTTTCTCTTCCATCCAGGAAGCTTTTTCAATTCAAAATGTCAGAAATAGCGTTGAGTTCTAGGTTTTATCCAGCAGCCCAACAAAGCCTTGATTTGGTTTAGAAAACATGCAAATAGAAACGGACGAACGGGTCCACCCCTTTGGAATGGGGGTCGTTTGGGTTCTTTGACCTGGATGACTGAGAATCTTCACCAGCACACCCTGAGAGGAGAACCCAGAACAGAAAGGTGACTAATGAACCTGGTAAGGGAGAATTAATTTATTTGATTTATTATTATTATTATTGTTATTTTTTTGGTGGAGGGTTTACGGCACTAGTGGCTCATTTTTTGGACAGTAGGCTGACAGGAAAGTGGGTATGAGAGAGGGGGACATACATATGGCAAAGGACCAGGTTGGCCATGTCGAGGACTAAAGCCGGGCAGACACTGCAATTTTTTTTACCCTATTCGGGCTGACATTCCAGTCATGCAAAAATTATTCGATTGGTCCAACTTTCAGACTGATCGTGCGTTTTGCGTCATATAGTGAACAGGGGTTAAGAGGGGCGATCAGCCTCTCTCGACCACTTCCCCATCAGGAATCTTAAGGTCGGGGAAAAAATCAAACACGTTGTTGTGGGCAAATCGCTCAGTGGGCAAACAAGGATTCTTCTTCTTCTTCCTCTCAGATGAAAACCCAGAAGCATAGCGGGGGTGCAATGAGTGAAATGGAGTTCTTTCTGTAAAATTGACAGAAAGATAGAAAGATCTTTTCTTTTTAGGGCTTTCAGCACAAAATTGCCCAAATAGCCAAGGCAGCGCGTTTCACTCCAGTGAGCTTCATATTCCTCTGCTACTGGTTTGGCTTCTGGATAGACGAGTCCGAGTAGCGCCATCTCACTGCAGAGCTGAGTCCCACCTGGTTTTTAGAGGTACAGTGTGAGCAGGTAGATCGCATCAGAGCGTCGAGTCGCACAGTATTAGAACAAACATTGTGAGCAGTGAGCTCACACTGTACGATGAAACCCTGCGGTTTTGTTGTACAGTCTGTCCTGTAGCTGCTTGCAACAATTGTAAAGAATCGCACAGTGTAAGCCCGGCTAAAGGCTCGTACATGGGTCGTGTGCTCTAAACAAAGCGCCCCTTAGATTTATTATCAAAAATGTTGTAAATATTCACAGAAACATATTTAAAGTTTTTACATTTCTATAAGAATTTGTTTAGCCTAATCTGATCCATTGGATGGATGTATTGTTCTTCTTGTGACAAAGTTAAATGAATGGAAATAATAACGACATTGACAACGGCTGCAGCGATTTATCGGCGCATTCCTGGATGTGAAAGCGATCTTATGTACCATCTTACCTACCTCTGCTAAGGTCCCAAAATCTTCCATTGTCAACACCACATCTTTTATCTAGAAATGAGAGCACAGCCTCATGGGCAGATAGACATAGTTTTATTGTTTCATTGATGCAGTTTGTTGTTTTTCAAAAAGATATGATAGAAATATTGAAGGTGTATAGAGATCTGATAACAACCGACATGGTTAGAAAACAAAAATCAGAAACAGCAGGTCAGGTTTGTTTAAGATTGGTGATTGGTTGTCAGCCAGACACCTCCACCGTGCTCCTCTGATGAATACAAACTGACACAGCTTCTAGTTGAAGCATCTAATTAGAATTTCATTTGATGCAAATGCAGAAGTATAAATAATTACATTTTAAGGACCTGAATTTTAACAAAACAAAACAAAAAAAAACATCTGAAAGTAGGGGTGAGTATTGGCAGGTATGTTGCAATACGATACCCGTCACGATACGATATTATCACCATACTGCAATATCACTCGATATTTTTCACAACAATCAAAATTAAACGTATGGATAAACAGCGTCTGTCGAGTAGTGGAGGGGGAGTTTCCGCGAGGAGCGTATCGAGGCTTGTTTTATTTGGGGGAGGAGCCAAAATAGATGACCTTCCAAGCCTGGCTACCCCGCCAGACCACGTGACCGCTTCAGGAAGTGATTCAGCTCACCTGGAACTTCGACAGGCATCTAAACAGCCTCAGTGTTCAGTCAAGATGTGGGAGTTTGTAGGAGAGTTGCTGTCAGTTGGATAGAGTTTGGATAGATTCTAATAATAGATCGGTTGTTTTTCCAACCAATCTATTTGGTTAAAACTAGTTCTATTAAACAATGTAATAAGCAAAATCTGAGCAAGCCACTGGTTACAGTTGTAACATGAGTCTTAAGTAGTATTGCTTTCAGATGAGCTGTCATCTTGCTAGTGGCGTCAGCTTTAAGACATTGACTTCCATTCCTGAGGTTGTTGGTTTTAAACCCATTTCAGACTTTTGAAAGTTGCGATAAATGTAACAATTATTTTGGCTAATGTTACTAATTTGTATTGGTTTGCCCCAGTAAAAATATAGATTGGGTAAAAACACTGCCAAATTAGAATGATTGGATTAGCCAAAAGATTGGTTGAACACATAACGTCCAACCCGATTAAACCAGAAACTGTGGGAAAACTATTTGTCGGGGTTTGGTTAAGGTTTTGAGGACCCAAATGATGAGGCGAAGAGGCACGGTTGAGTTCTTGAAGAATTAATTGAATAACTGAGGCAGAAAATCCAAAAGCTAAAGTACAAAATAAGTGGAACCAAAAACCAGACAAATTCATGGAAAAACAGGAAAACATGGGGAACTGCACAGGGAGAGTTTATATGGGAGACTAAACAAAGACTGGACTAATGAGCTAATTGGGAGCAGGTGTGAACAGAGGATTCTAGAAAGGAGCTAGGGAAAAGGGAGACCAACACAAGAAGGCAACAAAAAAAAAAAAACCTAAGAACTCAGATATATTCAGAAACCACCACAAAATAGGAATTAAACCAATAAAAATAGAAAACAAAGAAAAATATGGATTAAAGTGAAAAGAAAACTTAAACAGAACCAAGACTGTGACACTATTACGTTTGAATAAAAACGAATAACACCTTTCATTTTGCTCATTGCCTGACTTGCACTTTCCCTGTCTGCTTGAGCTTATTTCACAAAAAAGGCAGAAAAACAGTGAACCTTAAATGATTTTACTTTTCTAAGACATTTTGCACACAAAAAACAGAGTGTTTTATTACACACACGAATCATTAACAACTTCAAAGGAACTTAAATGGGAAAAAAAAAACAAGAAAAATATTGCAAAAAATCCCAGATTATATTACTAACTGTAGTTCTTCACTCCACCAGTAGGTGGCGACATGTTCACATGAAGCTTCATGTACTGTGGGGATCATTGAAGCAATTTGCCCAAACTGTTCAAAGAGGCTTCATCTCACCGTCACTAGACATTTTTTTCAGCTTTCAATATTAAACATCAGTTATTTTGGTATCCATGATCTTTGGGGGTCCCACGTCTTCCACCGAGACTACCTCAGCAGAAATGGCGCTGTGCTACACAGCAAAAGGGCTCCATGGCACCATCTACCTGAGTGGCGGTGCAGAGATCATTTGCCTCATTGTTTTATGCTAATGTTTTTTTGTTTTTTAAAGGAAAAGTCCGGTGAGCAAGAAATTATCAATGGATCAATATGTATACCTAAAACTAATATGTTCGCGGTGATTTAGAGTCAATCAGTAAAAAAAAATAAAAACAATGACTTTGGTCGCGATGATGTCACGGTGCGGTAAGCCTAGCGCCATTCTCCCCTGATTTACAAGCAAAATCAATGGGAACTACTTGACACATCTGCAATTAACAACAATTATTGAAGATTTCCAGAGGACTTCACCATTGAAATTCACCAGAGCTATAGTGAAACTGACAATGCCCATGCATGGCAGCTGGATGTTGGAATACATCAGGTAAAAGATTCCTGATCCTCCACTGACGAGTTCGTCGTTGGATTGCCAACTTGAAGAGGGAGGATTTGCCATCGAACTTCTGGCCAGAGAAAAAACACGTAATATGTAGCCAACATTTGGAAGAAGAATGTTTTCAAGATGACTTGGATAATAGCGCGTTGTGACAAACACCAGATACAGCACTGGGACTTGATTAGGGCTGCAACTAACGATTATTTTGAAAATCGATGAATCGGACGATTATTTTTTCGATTAATCGATGAATCGGACACAAAATATTTTTTTTATATTAACCTCTTTATTCCAAAATAAACATTTTAGACAGAACAAACAAGCACACAAGTACAGGTTGCTCATTAACTGTACTGGTGCTATATGAAAAATAAATGTGTTAAAACTATGCAAACTTACATGAGAAATGTAGCTGTACATCCACAAAATATAGGGTACTTTGTTTCATAAAGCGCAAAAAAAGACATTTTTGTTTTTAAAAGCCCCTAAGGGGTTCAAACAATAGGCCCCCCCATTTCAACAAATGAGTTTTTTTTAGACTAGAAGAGTTCTGCCTTTTAAGACAGGAAAGTATAGCAGTTAAAGTTGCTACTTAAGAAAATACTTAACCATAGAGATAAAAATAGCCCTGTGATTCAAATTATAAATTGTATTTGGAATAAAAATGAGAGAACTAGGGGTGTTAAAAAAACACATCCTCCAAAGACAGATATTTACATGGGAATGTGGCAGATAATTAATTGACATATTACTGATCTTGCTGGATTTTATTCTGCTTTACTTCCATAAATTGCAGGATCTTCTTTACTTTCTTTGCCAGAAGATTTAAACTTTAAAAGCCTTGCCCTCATAATTTGCAAATTTATTTATTTATAAAGAAAATATAAACGCTGCTTAAGCTAATTCAAATGAAATTAAAAGTAAAATAAGTAGCCAACCTTATCACTGTCTGTAACCTACTAACAAGCTAAGGAAAGCATCAGATGAGCTATCTGAGAAACTAACTTACGTTTCCCCACTTTAAAATGAAACAAACATGGTTACTCATCCTGCTGATGAGCTCTCTTCACTGCCATTGAAGGCTCCAACGTGTTTTCTTTTCAGGTGCTGCGTCATAACAGTGGTGCTTCCGTGCCATGTTCATTTGTTTTTTACAAAAGTTGCATGATACGACTTTTTTCACTTTACAAAGCGCAGGCTATTTTAATTATTGTGATCAATTTGCGCCGTCAATCCCGGGGCATGCGCGCTTCATTTGCAGTCTGGACGCTGAGGGTAAACTCCTCACTAAAATCCTGCGGCTCGGACTGCACGCTGAGAGGGATTCCTGTGGGAGAGGGAGAAAGGCGTTGGGATGGGGGAGGCGCCCCACGGCAGCAGCTGCCGCTGGAGGACAAGAGTAGGAACGATACATGCTTTCACGTAAGAGTCACCAAAAGCCGCCAGTGACACCGTAAAAAGTCGCCAGATTTGTCGCTAGTCGCTTTTTAAAAAAATAGTCGCTGGAGGGGTCTGAAAAGTCGCTGAGTTGGCAACACTGCAACTGCGGCGCTGACTCGCTCCGCCATATTTTTTTTTCTTCCCCGGGATGACGGCGGCGGCGGATGACGCATTAATCGCGCGACACAGCTAATCGATGATTAAATTCGTTGCCAACGCTTTTAAACGTCGATTTTTATCGATTTTATCGATTCGTTGTTGCAGCCCTAGACTTGATCAACAGCCGATACCGCACCGTGACGTCACAAACCAGTAGGTGGCAGTAGTGTTCTTTGACACACATGGATGCCTCCAGTAAAGCACATTCACATGAAAATTACTCTGAATTAAAAACACTGATCATTTATTGAACAGGATGAAATAATTTCATATTTAAAGTATTTTTAGAAGTTGGTATTCTGAATATGAGCGGACTTTTCCTTTAAAAAATCGATACTAACAACTAAAAGATCGATATTGCATCGGACAGCGCAAAATCACGATATATCACCAAATCGATTTTTTCCCCTATCAGGAAGGCATAACCAGGAGGAACCCACACAGCCTCCTGCAAACCCAAAGGATCTATCAATGGCTCCATCAGCCCACTGAAGGTGTCGGTTCTGTTAAACTTCCACCATCACAGGTGGGAGACTGCACTACATGAGCAAACTGTTCCTGGAACAGCTGAGCTGGGTTTAAAATGTGTTGCCTTCATGCTCTATGGTTCATTTTGCAGCTTTTTCCTCTGAAACGATATTTAAGGAACTTCTACAAGCAGCTGAAGACCTGCTGCCAGCAGGACCGTGTTTTACCTCTTTGTTGAAGCTCTGTAACGCCACCAGGGCCCTGTCTTGCTCTCCTGCCTCCATTTGCTCTATAATCCCAGGTAAATCCATGCCGGTGCTGTGATGGGAGAACCGAGCCGCTGTCAGAGCTAGATGCGGTCCTGCTTGGTCCGTCAGGCTGCAGATTATATCAGAGGCTACTGGCTGACAGGGCTGACCAATGACAGCATGATGTCTGCATCCTGGATCCATCAGATGCGATTAGAACAAACAGGATTTGCTCAAATCAAGTGCTGCGTTTAAAGACCCTGGGAAAGACGGAAAACAAACTACTGGGTTATTTTTTCTATTTGCATTTCCTAAAACACTATGAAGGACCAACTCTGCCATATTTAAAAATAAATACAGAAATAAATAAATGCTCAATAAATGTATAAGCATACAATTAATTGCCAACAAAAAAGTGAGACATAAATGTATATAACTCTTAATTAGCTTCTTTATTTATTTGCCTTTGTAATATTTACCTTATTTATTTTTCTGTCCTTTATAATCTTCAACTTTATTTTTGTATTACTTATATTTTTAAGTATTTATTTATGTGCATGTTATAATATTTTTGTCTGTTTTATTCTTCCTTTGTATTTTCTTACCTTAGTTATTTCTTCGCCGCTTTTTATTTCTCTCTGCCCTTTTTACATTTCTCTATGCATTTTTGCCTCATTATGCAAATGAGGAGGGGGTGTGTCCTAGAGAGTCAACTTCTGCTCATTGGTTGGCTTGGCGGCCCATCTTCTTAACTCACAGAGCTCAGAGTAAATGTTCTCTTTTCTGTTGCTGTTGTTCAATTAAAGTATGTTTTAAGATCATTTGAGGCGAGAACCTTATACTTTTAAGCATCACCATATGGCCCATTAACAGATTTAATGCGTAATTTAAAAGAAAATGTGACGAACTTGAGAGGACCGTGGCAACCAGCGGAGCTCCGAAGCTGACGGCAGCCAGGTCTAACCACAGCCCATCTGCAGCGGCCCTCTCTCGGCATAGCCGTGTGTGAAGCGTGTTGATTAGCATTTTACTACATCAGTCGAATCTACAGGAGGAGAGTCTGATGTCGAGTCTGAAGTCATTAGAACTTGAGTAGGGACTTTGCCAAACTTTGCCAAATAGAACAAAAAATCGCCATCATAGCCTGGCTATAGACCTGGCTGCCGTCAGCTTCGGAGCTCCGCTGGTTGCCACGGTCCTCTCAAGTTCGTCACATTTTCTTTTAAATTACGCATTAAATCTGTGAATGGGCTATATGGTGATGCTTAAAAGTATAAGGTTCTCGCCTCAAATGATCTTAAAACATACTTTAATTGAACAACAGCAACAGAAAAGAGAACATTTAACTTAGTACTCTGAGCTCTGTGAGTTAAGAAGATGGGCCGCCAAGCCAACCAATGAGCAGAAGTTGACTCTCTAGGACACACCCCCTCCTCATTTGCATAATGAGGAAAAATGCATAGAGAAATGTAAAAAGGGCAGAGAGAAATAAAAAGCGGCGAAGAAATAACTAAGGTAAGAAAAAACATAGGAAGAATAAAACAGACAAAAATATTATAACATGCACATAAATAAATACTTAAAAATATAAGTAATTAAAAAATAAAGTTGAAGATTATAAAGGACAGAAAAATAAATAAGGTAAATATTACAAAGGCAAATAAATAAAGAAGCTAATTAAGAGTTATATACATTTATGTCTCACTTTTTTGTTGGCAATTAATTGTATGCTTATACATTTATTGAGCATTTATTTATTTCTGTATTTATTTTTAAATATGGCAGAGTTGGCCCTTCATAAAACACTTCCCAACAAAAATAAACAGCGAAACAAGGACTGAATTCTCCCCTTATTTTATACTTGCTTTTTGTAATTTTATTTTATATAATTGTGTTTATTTTATAATTGTTTATCATAATTTTCTTTTTATTTATTTGGTTGTATTTGAATGTTTATGTGAATAACCCTTTATAGCAAGACTACGTTATTTTTCCTTCTTGTGTTTTGTTTTTGTAAATAAATCCATATTTTATATTACACTGTATCTATTTTGGCTGTAAAAATATTTCAAAATAAAATAATAGTAAAAAAAATGTTGACGTTCCTGCAATTAATAATGATTCAGCTAAAAATGTGATGAACCCCTAGCCGATGCTGTCATTACTGATTTATAAAACAAATGTCGAATGCATTTATTCATGCTTTACGTTATTAATTGCTTTTGTTACTTTTTTAACCCAAAAATAAAGTTTTCCCAACAGAAATTGGAGATATTAATAATATTTTTTTCCAAAAGAAAATAACGAAAATTGAAACGTTTTGAAGCCTTTAATAATGATTTATGATAATAAAAGTGATAATTGAAAGGGTGAGATTCTAAATTAGTGTTGAACATGTGGTATAAAGTCTGGTTTAAAATTCAAAACAAGCCAATCAAGATTAACTCACTCTATCAAAATCACGATAATCTAGCATAAAATAAAAACGGTAATTTGATGTCTTCTGTTCTTTTATTACTGCTGCAGTGGGAAAAAAAAAAAAAACAAAAAAAAACTGGTGAAACATTGAACCGATCGTCATGGCCACCGAATCTAAATAATGCGATAAAATGACGCCCGGAAGCAGCGGGACCTCTGACCAATGACAGCCTTGGGCCCGGTTTGATTGACGTGGATGTGAACCAATAGGCTCGCTTCTTGGGGAACCTGCTGACAAACGTTTCAGCTGTGGTGGGGGAGGGGTGTCGATGAAGTTGGCGGAACCGCCATCTTGAAAAGTACAGTTCGATCATTTACCTTTTCGCGCCCGTTACAATCAGTTTCAGCGCATTATTTCCCATTCAGGAATTAAATATTGTTTCCAGATTTGTATCGGTAAGGCTCCGTGCTGATGGCGGGATAAGCTCCATCCTCTAGAGTCGCCGTTTTCAGCTGCCAGTCGGTAAGTGTCCCTCCGCCTGCAGACGGTTAGCCAGCAGCCTTCAGATAACCGGCTATCGTTGGCTGGCTAGCTCCAAACAGATTTTGCTTCCATGTCAATTATGGCTCATTAGATAACATTTCACAGCTCGGACTGATGTGGGGATAACGTCATAATAATATCATGGTATTATCTTGGAACCGGAACATGTAATGAGATGAAATGAGTGAAGCTGGAAGGAATGGGCTAACAGATCCTTCTTCCTCCCCGTTAGCCTACTGTACTCAGGTTCGTTAGCCTGAGCCGGTTGAAGCTCCGCTGTCATTAGCGCCTCATGTTAGACGCCGGGATGTATTTTAGGTCTGTCCAATCTGTTAGCTTAATGCTAGCTAACTCCATTTATATCAGGAAGCTCTTCCTGCTGGCTGATTTAGCGGTGCCGTGATATAAGTCACGGTCCTCCGCGGTTTGTCTCATTCAATCATCTCAGGGTTATCATCCAGCTGATTTATAAGTCAGGCTCTGGAAGGAAAATGAGCTGATCCGTTTAGGTGAACTTCATTTCCGCAAAGCGGATGTTGTCCACTTCAGGTCAGCATGTAAACAGCACTGATTAGAGCACGTCTTACCAGCTCGATCAGTTTAATTTACTCTGTAAGGGTCGATGAACCGGTAAGTTCTTAATGTTCCACCTCAAAGGTTTAAAGTAAAGTGTTGGAAACAATTCAGCATAAATAGAAACCGGTATTCTGGCTTTGTTTTTGTCTTCATGTATGGGGTGCTGTTGCTTTCTTTACAGTTTATTATTTGTGCCTCAGGATGTGATATTGATGGTGAGGATTAGGGGTGTGCAAAATAATCGCCATGACGATGCATCGCGATTTGCAAAATTAAAACATACATTTGAATGTTTTCATTTCATTGGTTTAAAGGACCACTAAGGCCATGTAAACGGCACTGATTATCCTTATTTTGTTATTTTAAGTTTGATGAATAAGATCTTTTTGTCAGTGTGTCCACGCCAGTAATAGTAATATTTCTGTCCAGTATGTGTTTTCATGGCAACACCTCCAAAAGTCGTTTTAAATAAATACAGCTATGTATGAATTCAGTTGCTTTCAGTTATGTATCAATTGAAGACACGATCCAGATCATACCCAGCCAGTCAGCCACTGGTAAGGGCTGTATCTTTTTCTTACAGTGTTCAGGGAAAATATCGCAATGCATCGCAATATTTCAAGTATCGTGATGCACGGTGATAGAATCGCATCGTGGCATGTGAATCGTGATTCGAATCGAATCATGACTTCTTTGCCAATACCCACCCCAAGTGAGGATGTGAATCTGTCAGATGACTCTGACTGTAAATCATGTACTAGTCTTATGTTTACATTTTATCACTGCAGCACTTTAAAAAGGGGAATGTCTTGATAGCTGTACTGAACGAAATCTCGTTTTGTATACACCATGTGTGCTCAAAATGACAAAGTCTAAGTGATTCTGTCTTCTCTCACAGGTGTTCTCCGATTTGTTTTGCTTTTTGGTCCAGTGTCTGTCTTTCTGCCAGTCCCGTTTGGCTCTCCTGGAATGGGCCACAACTTCCAAAGACTTGGAAAAATCTCGTTTTAACCTGAGCTCCACGATCTGGACTCTGATATATTTACAGGTAGGCATTGACAGTTCACTGTTCGGTGAGCTCTGTGTCGATTAACACTCCCATTGAAGATGCTGCAATGTTTGTTGGCACTGCAAATGTCATCACTAGAAATGTCCGATTGAAGCATCTGCTTATTGAGAAACATAGCGCTGTGGTGCTGTCTGTAGAAAGCAAATGTTCAAATGTCACTGAGTGGAAGTGGAGGAGAAAATTGTGGGCACAGGCCATAAAATAAGGACGTGAAAGATCGGAGTGTACTGACAGGGAGCCATCCTGTGATATGACTGATTCAGTTTGTTTTGACTGTGCTGATCTGGGCTGTGATAAAGGTCTGACTCGTGCTAGGAAATGTAGCATAATGTTCATGTTCTCTGTTTAAAAAATGTGTTTGGGATCCTTTTTTTTTCATTTAAGGAGAGAAGAGTGAAATAAAGCAAATTTTTAGTGAGGAACAGAAGAAGAAGAAGCATAGAATGAGGTAGCAGTGGGAGGAATGAGGGACAAGAGGCGAAATCTAAGCATGAGGAGAAAAAAAAATCCTCCCTGGAAAGTGCTGTCAACAGGGTTCATCCAGAGTCAAATATTTTCCTTCATATTAGGGCTGAAACAATAAATCGGATTAATCCCGATTAATTGATTATTGAGATACTTGTGAACAAATTTAGTAATAGATTAACCGTTAACTGGAGTATCGAGATTCTAAAACGTGCCTTTAGCTGACAGAGTGACCCACTTAAAGCAGGAATTATACCAAGATTGTAAAAAAAATATATATATTAACAATTTGTATTTAATAAAAAAAAAAAACCTTGTCTTTCATCCATCGATCTGCACTAGTTTTAGTTTCACCTGGTTTGATTTGGTAAAATGTCGTCTTTAAGGAACCTTTGGCTATCCGATTATTAATCATTAACTGGAGTATAGAGACTAAAACGTGCCTTTAGCTGACAGTGACTCACTTAGAGCAGGAATTATACCAAGATAGTAAAAATATATAAACATTTTCCATTTAATGAAAAAAAAATCTTTAATGAAACTTTGGCTATTCAAATATTAATCAGTTAATTGTAAAAGTAATCAACAATTTGATCAATTTGGTAAATAATCGTTAGTTGGAGCCCTACTTCGTATGTTCAGAGCTAGTTGGGTGTAGTTTGTCTAATTTACTGTTATTTGGGAACATCGTCTTTTAGTTTTAGGTGTGTTTGTCTACTCAGTTTGGACTTGAACTGAGAATGATGAATTTGGGGGATTAATCACCTGTTCAAACCTCTGTTTAGCTTTTAGCTGCACATAAAAACAGTTTTATGCTTTATAAAACAAATATTTCTAAAATGTTGCAGGGGAGGAGTTTCATAGACTCTGCAAACAGTTTTTAGAAGTTTACAGACATCTGCTGTCGGCTTTCTTAGCAGCTCTTCTGAGGCTTTTATGCTGATACTGAAATTATGAGTAAAACTAAATTAAGTTAATCATAATAGAAGTTTTGTTGAAGTTGTCCAGTCCTTGCTACTTTAAATAGATAATGCTTATATTGCATTTTACTTTCGGTTTAATAGAAAATGTTATTGACAACCAAACGGTAGCAGAGAATACTTCACATTACTGTAAAGCTTTAAACTGGAAGTAGCAGTTTAGGAGCTACAGGAGGGGAAAACGGCGGCAGGCAAATTTGGACCTTCCAGCATCTCCTGCTAGCTTGACCAGCCTAAGAACTAGCAGCCACCTCCTGCTCAGTCCTAGCTCAGGGCAGCGTGGACTGTCCAAACACCTGAGTCTGTGGGAGGAAGGAGATGCAGACCCCATGTTGGGATTAGAACCAAGGACCTTTTAGTGCTAAGAAGCAGAGTTAAGTTTCTTAGAAAAGAAGGATATAAAACTTTTGTGTTTTTTTTTTTTCTCATCTTTGCTTCATAGGCACACATTTAGGTCTCTCTGTGATTCTAGGGCTTCAACTAACCATTATTTTGCAAATCTATTAATCTGACGATCATTATTTCGATTAATCGGTTAATAATCAGATTGCCAAAGGTTCTTTTAAGAAGAATTTTTACTAAATTAAACCAGGGGAAACCAAAACTTTTCCGCTTGAGGGGTTCTGAATTATAGAGCAGATTGACAAAGGAAAATGTTTTGTTTTTTTTATCTTAAAGACAAAATTTTTATATATTTTTTTTTTTACAATCAAGTGGGTTGCTCTGTCAGCTCAAGGCATGTTTTAGAGTCTCTAAACTCCAGTTGATGATTAATAAATTAATTAGTTGATGATTATTTAAATAATTAAATAATTCAGATTGTTTGTCTAATCCTGAAAGTAGCAAACTTCCAAGTTCTGTTGTTTCAACTTCCACAACCTAAGGCTTTTTATCACCATGGGGACCAACGTCTTACACATGTACAGCTGCAGAATCCCATTTATTAGTATTACTGGTAGATATGGGTTAGCATAGCCTACCTGATCACCTCAATTCACTGGAACGCGAGTACCGACTCGTGTTCTCGCCAAGTCTGTTCTTTAAAAGAACCCAGGAAAGTCTGGACTCTGGGAGAACGAGGGCACACAGAATAAATTTGGGTCAATTGGAACAGCAGCGTACTGATGACATCACCACATTCAAAGCTAGTCTGGAGCTGTTTTTCACCTCCTGTTATTAATAGTCTCTAGATAATAATAAATTATTACTTTTTTTCATCTAGGGGTGGAATAATAATGAACACTGTCAGATAAACACAAATCAAATTAACATTTTGCTAAATAAAACAAACAAACCTCCATCAGAGCCAGCGATACTTCACACACAGCTATGCCGAGAGAGGGCTGCTGCAGACGGGCTAACGTTAGCCCTGGCTGCTACAGTCCTCTTAACATCAGAACTTTTTTTAATCACGCACTGAATCACGCCGTTTTTTTGTTTACATTTAGCCCTTGATTTTACGTTGTTACATCATGTTCTACTCACCCATATGAGTTTTGTGTCATGTGGAGCTGTTCTGAAGATATTCCGTTAGGTTATATCCAAGTAACGTCTTCCTATGGGCAACGACTTGAAGGCACAAACTTAACTGTTCATAATTTATTCTTTATGGTACGCCAGCATTCATAACATGTAGGAGAATCACTGTCCCCCAGACATCGGCAGTTATATTTTTTATATTTATATTTTTTTTAAACAAAGCTGAGTGTGTATGACGTCATCCACGCGCGCCGGCTACCGTTCATTCTTCCTGTCCGCTGAACTGCTGCTAGTTTTCCTCACATGCCTGGAAGATGTCTAGTGCTACTACCACAGGTGATCTCGCTCTCAGAATGTAATTGAACGATTCAGATTAGCTAGAATGAATAGAACGGGTAGAGCGTAGCCGCATGTGGCCCGGGCTGCCTGTCACAACTCCAGTCCGGCGTACAGATGACGTCATACACGCTCTGCTTTGTTTTAGAAATATATAAATCTGGTCACCCTACCATATCAACAGTTTGATGTTTCAGTGAGTGAGTGCTTGTTGCTATGACGCGTCTTTGCTCAGCAGCTTCGCTTGTTGTAAACCAACCAATCAGCTCACAGCTCATCTAAATATTCATGATCATACCATAAAAGGAAGAAAACCTGTCGTTTCATTCTAGGGCTTTTAACTAGCCTGCATTAGGGCTCATAGAACAGCTAATATACCATTTTCAGCCCAACCAATGTTACACACCCTATTCAGAGACCTTAAGGACCAAATACCCTATAGAATCATTCTATCACCCCTTAAAAAAATTACCTTTATTGAACAACGGCAACAGAAAAGAAAACTTTTTTTTTACGGCATTAGTGGCTCGTGTTCTATGGACAGTAGGCTGACAGGAAAGGGGTCTGAGAGAGGGGGAGAGACATGCAGGAAAGGACCACATGTCTCTCCACGGGCCAGATTTGAACCCGGGTTGCTGGCGTCAAGGACTAAGGCCTCTGTATCTGGGTCATGTGCGCTAAACACTGCAACACCTACAAACCAAGTAAAGAGAACTTTTAACTTAATACTCTCAGCGCTGTGAGCACTAACCCGGAAGCTGCTGCTGCCGCAGTGCATGCTGGGACAGCTGTCAGTCTGGAGAATGGACAAGTCTGCTCTGATGCATGCTAGGTAAAGAGGGAGGGGCCAGAACAACATCCGGGGTCTGCTGTTCTTGTGAATTGGAACGGCACTAGGGCTGAGACTGATGACGTGACACGAGGACACACAAGTACACATAGTGAGAAACGGCTTTAGTGTTTTTACTGACGGTCAAACGTAGGAAGAAAGCAGGCGGCCCGAACAGTTGGCAGCACAGGAACAACGAACCTGTGAGGATTTCTGCAGCATCCTGTCTTTGATGTGAAGTGTGTTTGAAGAAGTGGCCTGATTATTTTACTAAAAGAAAATCCTCCAAAGGTTTCTGATAGAAAAAAAACGCAGCCAGAGGAGGATTGTTTCCCTTCTGCTCATGTTGTCGTCCTCTGTTGGTTCATAGATCCACCATGTTTTGGAAATTTGATCTCCACACCACATCCCACATCGACACACTCCTGGAGAAGGAGGATGTAACCCTCACAGAGGTGATGGATGAGGATGACGTCCTGCAGGAGTGCAAGGCTCAGAACCACAAGCTGGTCGACTTCCTCCTGAGACCACAATGCATGGAGGACCTGGTCACCTTCATCACGCAGGAGCCCAGTGCTGATGTGGAGGAGAAGGTTAAATACAAGTAAGGAAACTGCTTACAGCTTCCCCTCTGACATTTGAGCCTGAGAACAGTAGTGATCCTGTTTTTATAATCTGTCAAAGGCATTAAAAGTTCACACTGTAAACATTTTAAGAGTTAATTTATCAGCACAGATTGTTGGATCTTTATTAGTCAATGAGGAAAAGTGTCTCAAGTCTAAAGGGCCACGTTTGCTTTCTAGGTATCCCAACATATCATGTGAGCTGCTGACGTCAGATGTGAGCCAAATCAATGACCGGCTGGGAGAAGATGAGAAGTTGCTGATGAAGCTGTATGGGTTCCTGAAGAACGAGCCCCCTCTGAACCCCCTGTTAGCCAGCTTCTTCTCCAAAGTCCTGTCCATCCTTATAGGACGCAAGCCTGAACAGGTAAGCCTAACAGCAGAGTCCGTGTGTTCCTCTAGACTCACTGTGCTGCATGTTTATGATGTTTCTCTGCTTCAGCACACCTAACTACTGTCAAGCAGAGCCGATTAATCTGCTGTCAGCTGATAACGGGCGTGTGAACGCTGGGAAACATGGAAGACATGCAGGGCAGAGAGCCAAAGTGGTTCCTTCAGGGATGCTGTCCTGCAGGTTTTAGAGGTTTCCTGCTCCAGCACAGCAGATTTCCATTGATAGTTTATTAACAGGCTTTTGCTGAACTGCAATCATCAGAATCAGCTGTGCTAAAGCAGAGAAACCTCTAAAACCTGCAGGACAGCGGCCCTCCAGGACCCACTTTGGAGATGCCTGATCTAGAGGTTTGTTTTCTAAGCCATAACAAGCCTTTTGTTTGGGTCACTCTATAAGCCTGGAACTCAACGCTACTCCAGACATTTGAATTGAAAAAGTTTCCTGTTTATTAGCTATTTTCAACATTTATACAAAGAAAGAAAGAACAAGTAAAAAAACAAAAAGCACTGATACAAACAAAACCGGAGGCATGTGCATAGATTACAGCAAACACTGGAGAAAATGACCAATTTATACATAAACCTTAACATATATCACTCAGATTCACATTACTGGTCTTTTCAACTTGAAATTCTGAAGCATTCCAGAGTGTGTTTTTTAAGCGTAGTGTATCCCACTTAAAGGGGAACGCCGTTTTTTGTTTACATTTAGCCCTTGATTTTACGTTGTTACATCATGTTCTACTCACCCATATGAGTTTTGTGTCATGTGGAGCTGTTCTGAAGATATTCCGTTAGGTTATATCCAGTAACGTCTTCCTATGGGCAACGAGTTGAAGGAACAAACTAAACTGTTCATAATTTATTCTTTATGGTACGCCAGCATTCATAACATGTAGGAGAATCACTGTCCCCCAGACATCCGCCGTTATATTTTTTATATTTATATTTTTTTTTAAACAAAGCGGCGTGTGTATGACGTCATCCGTGCGCTGGACTTGAGTTGGGACAGGCAGCCTGGGCCACAGGTGGTTCTGACCAAACATTTTCTTCAGAATGCCCCCCATGTTTATAGGGGGACAAGGTTTTCAAACGCTTTCCATGATCTCAAGCTTTGGATTAGCGTGTTTATTGGTAGCCCACAGTGCTATAATTTCAGTTTAGTTAGGTAGCAATTTTTGCATGTAAAGACAGTACAGGGTTTTTCGGCCTTGGGTAGGCCTCATTCACCTGTTTTTATAATTTTGTTGGGATGATATAGAGCAGTGGTCACGGATTAGCGGACCACGGTCTGGATCCAGACCCACCTGCTGGCTAATCTGGACCCAAGGTGATTTAAAACATTTATTAATTACCTCATGTTGTCCGACGACGGTGTCTAATTTCACTTGCACCGCTTCTCCTGTTAATACGGTAAAGCCATCCAGCACCAGGCTACACATTATGCATATTAGCCAATGAGCTGCTGTCAGTCTGGGTTGCTGCTGCTGCTACTTTTAGACACAGCAGGCAAACCGGGTGATGGGAAAGAAGGAGAAGATGATGAGAAAAAGAGAGCAGAGAAAGTGTGGACTGCTGGAAGAACTGTGGTGAACTGGTGAAAAAAAAGTGAAATGGTGCTCAAAGATGACCCTGCACATTTAGAGGATGTTTGGCTCAACCTGCTGCTGTGAAGCAGGATTCTCCACCATGAACAGAATCAAAAAAAAATCTGGATCCAGGCTCAAAATGAGCTCCTTGATATGTGCTTTAGAATGGCTTAGTCTCCATTCAAACCCAGGTTTAAAGCCTTGCAGGGCTGCATAAAGCCCACTGCTCTCATTAAGCCAGAAAAAAGAAAGAAAATAACAAACGCTCAGTTCAGGTATTTGATAAAATATGGGAATCAGGAAATTGTCTATAAACCAAACTGAATAACTGTTGTTTTCTACTTTAAAAAAACATACAAAAATGTTTTTTTTTAAGTCGACGTATAACATGAATGCATAAAAGCCTCATTTTATTTCAGTGTTAAATTCTGTTTAAAGTAACAGATTATAATTAAAAATGTCTCCGGACCTTTACTGGTTGATGATTTTCTTAATTTGGACCCCACTGATTTTGAATTGGTTACCCCTGGAATAGAGGATGAGCTGAGAAAGAACCAGTTCAGTCTAGATTATGGTGTCTGTTTAACCTGGTTGTAATCCAGCTGGCTCCAGGTTTCTGTCTCAGGAGTCATGGCTAATTACATGGAGTCATTGGCTCTGCAGCAATCCCTCATACTCTGCAATAACATGGTGACCATGGAAAGAACCCACTGATTTTATGAGCCAGGCTCAGTCTGAGAGGCCAGCTGCTGCACAGGAATACTTTCTATGTCAGGAAGTCCAGAGGTTCCAGCAGACGTGCGGCGTTAGCTCAGTGGCTAACACTGTCATGTAATAAACCAGATTCTTCTGTTCTTACGTCCAGTGTTGATGTTCCTGCTGACTTTGTTTCTTCCTCTCTGTTTTAACAGATAGTGAATTTTCTCAGGAAGAGGGATGACTTTGTGGATCTGATGATCAAACACATCGGGACCTCGGCCATCATGGACCTGCTGCTCAGGATGCTCACGTGCATCGAACCCCAGCAGCTGCGGATCGATGTTCTAAATGTGGGTACCAGGTCTGCTGAAAACCTTTGGTTTTTGGCTGAGAAGCAGAAACAGTCCTTCACAACTTTCAGGCTGCACCAGGAAGCATCCATCCTTTCTAAATAACAGAACCATTAAACCTAGATGTGCTGCTTTTTATTTAACCCGCTGGTTTAATAGTCGTGCTTTTTAGTAATTAGGAAGCCTAGAGCAGCGTGGGCTACGTGGATCGGTGTAGGATGTCAGGCTAAAGCTGTTCCTGTTGCCTTTGATAGTTTCACAGCAGATTTTTTTTTCTTCTTTTACATAAAATGTGTAAAAGCTGAATTCTGTGGAACATTTTTGGCGCCTTAACTTTTAATCTGAATTTTAATAAGCAAATTTCAAATGTTTAGTTGTTCAAAGACAGAAAACATCTCTGGTTCCTCATTTTGATGCATTCACGGAAAGGGAAAAAAATGGGAATATTTGGTGTTGGACCCACAAGTCCTGGGTGAGATTCGGTCTGTCTTGTTTGTGCTTCCTGCTCTCTGCCAATAACCTGTAATCTGTGTTCTTTCTCTGAAGCTGTTTTATTTCCACCTAACGATGCATCGTTCTGTTTCCACCTTGATTTTTCAGTGGCTGAATGAGGAGAAAGTGATCCAGAGGTTGGTTGACATGGTGCAGCCCTCTCAGGATGAAGACGTGAGTGTTGCACAGCAGCTTCATGATGCTGTTGAGCTCTTCCTCGTATTGACCAGGTTTTTTGTCTTTGCCACAGAGACACTCCAACGCCTCACAGTCCTTGTGTGAGATCATCCGGTTGAGCAGAGACCAGATGTTTCAGGTCCAGGGCTGCTCAGAGCCTGATCCTCTGCTGGCCACACTGGAGAAGTAAACCTTTTGCTCTTCATTTCTGAGGCGGAACGCGTTGGTTTCGGTTCCATGTGGTTCACCATTGGCCGGCAGAGCTCCGCCCCCTTTTTCAGTCCCTGAGGTCATAGGCTGATGCTGGAGGCTGTGATTCGGGTCTGGACTGTAGAGACCGGTCCAGCTCTTCATCTGGAAGAGGAAGGCTCCTTATAACAATGAATCCATTTTTGATAAATTAACTCATTAAGTAATCAATCAATCATCAACTGGAGTATGCAGACTCTTAAAAATTACCCTTTTGGCTGACAGAGTGACCCACTTAGAGAAGTTATTATACCAGATGAAAAAGTTTACCTAACAAGCTAAATAATTGTCTGTCAATCAGCTCTGTCCTCCTCAAGTGGAAAAGTTTTAGTTTCTGCTGGTTTAATAAAAAAAAATCGTTATTCAGGAACCTCTTGCCATCCTATTATTTATCAATTCATTGTAAAAAAGAATCAACAGATAAATTGATTAGCAAAATAATGATTAGTTGCAGCCTGCAGTCCATCTCCAGGCTGTTCCTGGAATGTTGGAGTCATACCTGCAGCATTTAGCTGAAGGAAAACCACTGAAATATTCTGGAAATAAACTGAAGGCCACAGGAAGTGTGGGGGATTAATGAGTTTCATCCATTAATCAAATTTTTGGAAATAAGAGCGTCGTTCAGGGAAACGTTGGTTTTTGTTCCTGGGCGTAGATCTGTAGATTTCAGTTGGCCAACCAGCAGCTATCAAAGCTGCATCCCTGACTGGTCTTCGTTATGATGAAGCTACAGGAAGATAAAATAGACTTTTCGTCTGAGGTCATGTCTCCCCGCCAATAATCCAACAGAACCAAACAGCTAGCAGATAGAGAAGGAGCAGCTACAGAAAACATCAGCCAGCTATTGGTGGAATATTGAGCGGTACCACAGCGGCGTTCCCTGACCTGATAGCTATGAATGCATGTGGGATGCATGAGCTTTGTTTTGCTAAATTCACCATAAAAACGGTTATTCTGGGCTACAGGAAATCCTGAACCGATTCAGCTTTATTATGAAACCAAATCCTTCAAAAATATTCCAAAGTTTTAATGGACCTTCAGTTTGACAGTTTTTAAAAATCTGGAGTTTGGATACGAGTCCATGTCAGCAGGCAGAGTTCTGTTTATCCAGTGATTGATTGATCTGATAGATGAACTGATTACTGTTAACCAGGGCTGAGTTTCTTCCAGAAGTAACAGGTTTCTTCCGGACAAGTGGAAGAAAATTATACCTTAAATTTTTTTCCCCCCATTTCTTCTGGAAGAATGTCCTGGTGATAGATCATATTTTAGAGAACTCATTACAAAGCAAACTCATTACAGTAGTAGCCATTCAAAATTTTCCCACTTTCCTCGGCTGGTCCCTTACAATTTATTTTTAAACATCTAAAATATTCTTTCTCTCATGATTTGTGGACATTAAGAGCTAAAGAGAAGCGTTATCTCCTGGTCAGACCGTGTAATTCAGTGAAAGGATGGAGTAAAAGTAAAAAAAACTATGCACACCCAGGAGAAGGCCAGTGGCTGGAAGTTGGAGGGGATTTTGCTGCCATTCGGCTGCCTTTTGACTGGGAAGGGCCATTTTGAACGGCTGCTACTGTATATGCATCAGGCTACATAAGGAGAAATCTTTTCTCTTTGAGGTTTTTACGGCACCAGTGGCTCGTTTACTGTTAAGTTGGCTGAGAGGAATAGGGGTACAAGAGAGGGTTGAAACTCATCTACCAACTGAAGCTGCTGTTCTTTCAGACTCGTCTGAAGAGTTTGGCTGTTTTCTTTTCCTTGTTCCAGTCGATGCCTTGAGATGTTTCTTCTGGGTTGTTCTCACATCTTCCCATTTCTCCTGGTCTCATTCAGGCAGGAGACGGTGGAGCAGCTGCTCTCCAACATCTTTGAAAAGGATAAAAATGAGTCCGCGATAGTCAGCGTCATCCAGATCCTGCTCACGTTGTTCGAGACCAGGAGGCCGGCGTAGGTTCCGCTCCCTGTGCTGCTGTAGCTGCCAGTAGTGTTGGTCGGCTGCCTTAACGCCGCTGCTGTCTGTCGCAGGTTCGAGGGCCATATGGATTGTCCTCCTGGGATGTCCCACCCTTCGTTCTCAGTCAACCACAGCATCCTGGAGGCCGTGAGACCCCGGATTAAAGATTTCCATCAGCTGCTGCTTGAACCCCCAAAGGTGAAGCACCTGGACTCATCAGCCAATCACAGCTTAGCCTTTCAGTGTGGAGGGTTGTTTACCTGACTGCTGTTTGCTCTCCTTCTTTAGAAGAATGTTCTGAAGACGACGTGGGGAGTTCTGGACCCACCGGTGGGGAACACCAGGCTCAATGTGGTCAGACTGGTGGCCAGTCTGCTGCAGTGCAACGCTCACAGCATCAACACAGAACTCATCAACCTCAACACTCTGGGAGTCATTTTAGTGAGTAACCTCCTCCCCATCACCCACCCTCCCCTCCCGGGTTGGTACCAGAGACAGTTTTACTGTGCTTCTGAGGACAAACCGAGCCTCACCTCCATGAATCGCTGCTAAACGCTCTGTTTTCTGCTCTCTCTGCCAGGATATGTATTTCAAATACATCTGGAACAACTTCCTCCATATTCAGGTGGAAATCTGCACAGCAATGATTCTGGCCATGCCTCCGGCTCCCACAGACGGCCAGCTGGATGGGGAGCAGGGCACGGCGCCGGAGAGCGCCCTCATCAGACATGTAAGATCTTCTCTGGCTCTTCCGCGTCTTCGGTTCAGCTAAACTTATGATTGAGAGGTTTTTAAAATCCAGTTTCAAACCAGACTCTGTAGGTGTTGTTTTTTAGATCAAAGCCTTACTTGTCGTTAGCTTTGTGTTTGTTAATGGTTAGATGCATATTAATGATAGAATATTGTATATTTCTGAGATCCTCCCATATTTTTATAGTTTGCATTTTTCCCAAGTCCCTGTTTACAAATGACACTATGTGTACTATCTGAGTCGTGACGTCCTCTGAAGGAAGAAGCAGGGACGCATCTGAGGTCTGTTTGGACAAGAGCTGTGAAAACAATGCCATATGGCAAACTCTCCAAAGAAATCGGAAAAAGTATTTAGATTTCAATTCTATTCAGTTTATTTCTATAGCTCCAATTCACATCATGTCATCTCAGGTCACTTTCCAGTTCACCAGATCATCCAGTCTTATTTATTTAAAGTTTTCTATCTAAGGAAAACCAGCTGATTGCATCGACTCATTGACTCTTCAGCAATCCCTCACACTAAGCATGCTTGTAGGGAGAGTGGAGAGGAAAAACCTCCAACAGAACCAGGCTCAGTGTGAAGAAATGTATATTAGAAAGTCGTGTTTTTGCTTCACTAACACTGAAACTAATTTTTCTCCTTTCAGGTTAAGAACTGTAAATAAATGTTTTAGCAAAAGCTTTAAAAGTGCCTCAATTGCCCCATTTCCAATAGCCCTCTGAAACCGATCCGTGCCGAGTTCGGTTCCTTACGACCTTTTAAACATCACGCTAGCACGGATTCTCGCCTCCTATTGGCGGCAGACATGGGCAATGTGGAGTCAACAAGTCATCTCCATGTCATGTATTTGTTCTACCCAGCCACTGAAGCAGGTGAGTCCAATCTTCACCATGAATTAACCTGTGCAGATTGGACTCACCTGGTTAATTGGCTGGGTAGATTAAATACATGACATGGAGATGACTTGTTGACTCCACATTGCCCATGTCTGATTGGCGGTCCACGATACTACAGCTCTCACAGCGGGAATTACGCAAACAAAAGTGGCGGTGCCCATAACATTCAGGAACTTATGCCTGGATAAGAGTCCTGGATAAGAGTCCTGCACCCAAATTTCAATGAGAGCCTGGGTCTCTGCATCATCCCATGTCGCACCACGCTCTTTTGATGCCATTTATTATAAACCCTTTTTTAGAGCAAGTTAGCGTTTTTGATCACTTCCATACCCCTTACAAATGGAGCCCCAGACCGTTCTCTGCACGGTTTCTAAAGGGCAGTTTGTGCTGAAACCAAACTGCTTTACTTCTTATTTTATTTCCTTTGTGACGACTGGCTGACTTCCAGACTGTCAGCTGCTTTATAAACCGTTGTTTGTTTTCCTCCAGCTGTTTCAAGCCTGTCAGCTGATCCAAAGAATCGTGGAGGCGTGGCGCTCCAACGAGAAAGAACAGTAAGCCTCCTCGTTGATCGGACCGAGCAGAGCGGCCTCCACCAACGCTCCTGTCTTCCCCTAATCCTGCCCTTCTGTGTGTGTTTCAGAGCAGAGGGCGGCCGGCGGCGAGGCTACATGGGTCACCTCACCAGGATAGCTAATTCTGTAGTTCATAATAGCGACAAAGGTCCTAACGGCCCACAGATACAGGGACTCATCTCTGGTAAGGAGTCATCTGTTTGAGTTTATAGCTGAATTCTACCTCCAGGATAAACCAGTGTAGCTTCCAGTTGGACCAGTAAAAGGTCCAGTTTATGCAAGGGAATCTCCTCTGAAATTTTCTCAGAAGGTTCCTGTGCCTGGGAAGGTTGATTCCTCTAGAAATAGGATAAGAATGTGATTTCATTAACTTCCTCAGTTAAATTGTGACCAATGGTAAACTGGCTGTTGAGGCTGAATAACTGGGCTGTTTTTGGAGCTAACCGCCGGCGTTGCTGTGTGTGACAGAGCTGCCAGCTGAGGACAGGGACAACTGGGAGGCCTTCATTTCAGGCCAGCTCGCCGACACAAACAAAAGAAACACAGTGGACCTGGTGAGCTCCTGACCTCCTCATCCTGGTTCTGCTTTTAGTTCCAGACTCTAAAGGTTCTGATCCGTTTCAGGTCAACACTCATCACATCCATTCTTCCAGCGATGATGAGGTGGACTTTAAAGATGGCGGCTTTCACCCGGACTCTTCAATCCAACAAGTAAGACGCACTCAAATACCCCCCCATTGTAGAGCCGCACATCTAGATATGTCAGAAACTGTTGTAATGATCTATCCACACAGACCTCCTGACTATTGGTTAGGATTTAAGTCTGTGATTCCAACCCTGATCCTCAGGGACCTCTGCCCTGCATGTTATAGATGCAGCACAGCTGAGTCAAATGGTGGCTCCTCCTCTGCTATCAGGTGCTGCAGAAACCTGGGAACCATCTATTCTTTTCTGGTGTGATGCAACATGCGGGACAGAGTCCCTGAGGAACAGGGGTTTAGAACCACTGATTTAGGTGGAAGTGGGTCAGAACCGGGATGGGACAGTGACATGTCCCTCAGACTGCAGCAGGTCATCTAGCTAGAACTGGTGTTCTGTCAGTCCATCATACCCATAGCAACATGCATTAGAGTCTTCTTCCTCCACTCTCCTTTCATCCAGTCACTCTGTTTTATTTCCCGATTTAGTCAGGTGTTTGTCATAGTTTTGTGCATAAAACAACAAAAATCCTTCATTAGGTTCACTACACACATTAGCTTAAAAAAAAATGCATGTCCACTTGATGAGGATCTTATCAAAGAATGATCAGCATTCTTTCACAGAGAATTAAATATTTATAGGGAGAGGATTCTACAACTCAGTGACAGGATATGAGATTTATTTGTTTTAGTTCTTTTCAAATATGAGCAGCATGCGGATCATTTTATTTATATTTACAGCACATGAGGAACTACTGAAATCATTTTCAGATTACACTTGAACAGATTAATTCCACGGACATAAAGATATAACTTTAGGGTAAGAATTTGCTCAGTGATAACAGCCTGCTGAGCCTACTGGTACAATCTGAAGCCCTTCTATGGGACTGATGGCCGCTAATAACGATCATGCGCGTCATGCTTATTACTAAGGGTATGTTGAGCTGACAGAACACCAGTCCTTTAAGATGAGAAACCAGGTCATGCTGCAGTGAAAGTGAACTGATAGGAGCCCTCAGCTCCAGGGCCCGGTCGGCTCCATAGTCCCGCTGCCTGCTGCTGCGACTCCATGCCAGTCTGGAGCAGAGCAGGTCGTTCAGGCTGATGAAGAGCAAAGTGGAGTTTGCAGGTAACAGACCACACCTGCAGACTGAGGATCACGTTTCCTGGACTGTTATCTAGTAATATTTATACAGTCAGCATAAATATGAGCGTTGAATGAAAAAACTTAAAAATTTAATTTCCTTCATTAGATGCAAAGAAAACCAGGTGAGACGATCAGTAGGATGTAGAACTCGAGACCGGCCTTGGTCTCCGTTTGTACTGGGCCTCAGACAGGACAGCCCATTGCTGATAGTATCCTCCATAACTTACTGATTCCCCTCAGAAATCGGTTTATAAACACTTCAAATCATTGGTAGTGTAATGATCTCACCTTCAGAGCTACATTCAGCTCAAAGCTCTGCTGATAACGCTGTTACCTGAGATAACTTTAACCATATTATTAATGAAATATAACTATGTAATCAGAGTCAGCAGATCTCTAAAGCCGGGCATACACTGTGCGATATTTTTCCATCGTTACACGCAGCTACTGCTCAAAATGTACGATGAAACCGCTGGGTTTAAAAGTTCAAAACAAGAAGCAGGTGTGGAAAAGAAGCGAACCATTTAGATTTACACTGCTGCAGGAGGTTGATCCATCACTCTCCCATCCCTATTTGTTAAACCCAGCCTGGGAAATCAGCTATACACTGATCAGGGGAAACCGGAAAGCATCATGGAGCTCGAAGCCACATTTTAAATCCCACTTCAGCCCCAGCTTTCCGTTTGTTATCAAACTCCTCAGAGTCTGAAACGAAGCAGCCTTTGTGACGCTTCAGGAAGTCCTCTGCCCACAGAGTTTAGATGATTTCCTTTTCTTTCCCAGCCAGGTTTCTCCAGCTGCTGGAAATGTTCTTGTACTGTGCACCTGTCTTTTTTTTAACATTTTCTGTGACACATTTCCACATTTGTAAAGTTTTGTCCTGCAAATAATGTCTAGCTGTGTGTAGAGCTACGACTATATCATTATCGTTGGTCCTGGGTCTCGCCAGGCCTTTTCTGATTATCAGATGCAACAAATGACGTCCAATTTTATTGAGCAGTTTGGCTTCAATGACGAAGAGTTCGCTGACCAGGATGACGTTGCAGAGTAAGTATTCATCCTGCATGACTGTTACTGTCTGTCTGTGACGCCAAAGACAGTCCGAACCTGGTGGAAACGCTCCGTTCAGTCATCCATCTTTATGACACCATCTAAGAGCCCCTCTCTATTGATATAGGAGTTCCTAAGTGGACTCTGTGGGGATTAAGCTGAACAGAGAGCGTATTCACTGCTTCGCCTGTCTTTTGCTGTCTGGAGCTTATTTTTCTGTGTTGGGGTGACTGGGTCTGTGTGGTGGGGAGAGCTGGCAGCTGATTGGTGGGTTAGCAACACTTCCGACTTAGAGGATTGGCCTCCTGTTTCCTTCTGCTGCTTCATGAGATCAACAGTAATCAAAATAAGCTATCTCAATCCGTTCTAGGGATGTGGATGAAATTCAGTTTTGCAGTATATCGTGATTTTCGTCTGCCTGATATAATACCGATCTTTCAGTTCTCATTGTCAATTTTAGAAAAACAAAAAAGTTTATTTAAAAAAAATATATGGGACAATGACTACCTCTGCACCACCACTCTAGCATGTAGAGCTGTGGAGCCCTTTTGCTGTGCTACTCATTTCCATATTTGTAGTTGAGGTAGCTCCAAACTCCAAACAACATGGATACCAAAATTCTATTCAGTTTATTTTAGGGATGGGACGATTTATGAAAACAGTCAGAATCGTTCGGTTCGACTGTCTCGGTTCGGTTCGCGTGTGTTTCGTTCGGTTCATGCGCTGCTCCTTTTTCTCATAGAGGAAGCGATTACACTCCAGAGCAGAAGGTGGCGGTACTGCGACCAAAGCCAACTGCCAGTAGTAAACAAGAAGAAGAAGAAGCGAAGCAGCTTAGCCGGGTGTAGCAGGGAAAAAAATCAGTTGTTGTGGAGAATTGTGTCGGACTGGCGAGTGGGAAAGAACAGGAGTTGGAAGACGCGCCAGCAGCACTTTATAGGTCTGCTGTATGGGAGCGCTTTGCATTTAGAGTGACCTACGATGACGGCGGAAAGAAAGTTGTGGATAAAAGTGCAACAGTGTGCAAGCATTGTGCAACACGTTTTGTTTATGCTAACAGCAACATGTCATGCTAACCCCGAAATCCCTCATACTCCGTCAGCAACCCCCGCTCCGCCCCGCTGCGCTCCAGACCGGCTGCTCAAAGCAAAGCCTACAGCCTCCTCTGTGGCTCCCGTCCACTCCCCTCTTAGTTCCTTGGAGATGGTAGAGAGCATGTAACCTGACAACAGCCAGATGCATGTCTCGCTCCGGCATTGTTAGGTTAGAGAGCATGCGCCAGATGATTAAATTCAAAGCAGCAAAACATACGGAAATGATCCAGGGTTTCCGCGGATCATTTAAAATAATTACAATCCATTATTTTTGGGGGGATTTTTTCATTAATTTCATAATTTTTTATGGGATTTCGTTGTAACGTGTATCAAATCGAACCGAAAACCGTGACCAGAAACCGTGAATCGAACCAAACCGTGGATTTTGTGAACCGTTCCACCCCTAGTTTATTTCTATAGCTCCAATTCACATCATGTCATCTCAGGTCACTTTCCAGTTCACCAGATCATCCAGTAAGATTGATTCAAAGTTTTCTATCTAAGGAAAACCAGTTGATTGCATCGACTCATTGACTCTTCAGCAATCACTCACATTAAGCTTCTAGTCTAGAAGCTAATCCCTTTTTTTCTGTGGGTAAACTGGCAAACCGGTTCAGCTTGATCCATCAGGGCGTTTTTAACCTGCTGATCTCTGATCAGTACCTGCAGCCCAGCAGTCTGAGATGTTTAGGAGCAGAGTCATACATAAAAGTTCAGCAGGAAGTTCTTTATCTGGGGAGAATTGAGCTCCTTTCAAAATAAAAGCCCAGGTTCCTATGGGGCCAGTTGGGCTGTTAATATTATTGTACTTTGTTTTATTCCAGATCAGGGAAGTCACAATCCTTCACAGCCGCTCTCCTGCAACGTTTCTTTAAGCTTTGATAATTTAAACTGTTTGAAACCAGGAAACACTTGTTAGTAATTTCCCCAAATGAAGCGACTTGCCTTGATGGAGTAATTGCCAGCAGTTGATCCTCATCACTTCCAGGCTTAACCGTCTCTGCATGTCTGCTCCACCTCCTGTGGTTCACTTCCTGTTGGGATTCATCTCAAGTCGTAGATATTAGCATTTCTAGCAGTACTAATGATGATGTGGAACAATGCCCCCTACTGGGTGGTAGAAATGGTGCTTTCTGGGTTTAAAGGGATAGTTCGGTATTTTTGACATGAATCTGTATGGCATCCCCATCACCAGCGGCATGCAATCACACTGACTTACCCCTGGCAGCGTCCTGTGAGCAGAGTTATCGTCCAGTTTTGGTCAAGCCGAAAGTAGTCCGGCAGGTTTTTAGGACCAGCGAAATAAAACTTTTCTCTTCCCAAAACATTATGTGTTCAAAAGAGTGATATTTTTGCATCCCAAAAACATTGTAGTGGAAAAAGTCACACGTCGTTATCAATTGGTCCTATTTTCTCTCTGTTCGTATCAGTGCGCGCCGTCATTCAGACAGCGAGCTCAACAACAGCCAGATGCATGTCTCGGTCCGCCCAGCTAGGAGCTAGGACGCTCACAGGACGCTGCCAGGGGTAAGTCAGTGTGATTGCATGCCACTGGTGATGGGGATGCCATACAGATTAATGTCAAAAATACCGAACTATCCCTTTAAGGGCATATTTTATGGTGGTTAGTTCTGGAGATATTCTGATCTGAACATCTGTTTCGGTTCTTATGTTGAAGAAAATTGTAGTTTGGGCATTCATGAAAGTGGGCCCTTAGGGCCATCTGTTAACTTCTAATAGATGTCATTTGGGTTAGAAATCTGCTGCACTGGAGGAAAGTCCTCCATCAGTTTGAGCCCTTCACCTTTTCTCACATTATACCACACTCACAAAGTGGGCCCTCTAGGGCCACCATCCTGCAGGTTTTACAGGTTTCCTTCCTTCAGCACAGCTGATTTCTATTGATTACTGATTATCAGGCTTTTGCTTAACTCCAATCATCAGAATTAGCTGAGCTGAACCAGAAAACCTCTAAAACCTGCAAAACCTGCAGGTCGGCATCCGTCGAGGGCCCACTTTGGGGAAACCTGCCTTACACTGACCTCCAGTTGCCCTTTAGGGTGGACATGTTTACATTCAAGCATAGCCTGCTTGCATGTAGAGAGCAGGTTATGAAAACTTCCTAGAAAAAAAGTGGAAGAGTGTGGAACGGCGCATGGCTAGCTAGTTCTCACTTCTGTCGTTGTTGCTGTACATTTGACGTCAAAACGTTTTACCTGAAATGTTTTCATGCACTTATCATTGTGTTGCCTTGGTGATTCCTAAAACTTCTCCTTTTAATCCTACAGGATTCCCTTTGATAGAATATCAGACATCAACTTTTCCCTAAATACAAATGAAAGTGTAAGTATTCCGAATATCTATCCTACGTAGTCGTATTTATTCAGGTTAGGATGGGGGATCGTACCTAAACAGCTGCAGATGTTAGGACAGTGGGCCTCTGAACTAATACTACAGTAGCAGCCATTCAAAATGGCCCTTCTGTCAAACGCCTGTTGAATGGCAGCAAAATCCCCTCCAACTTCCAGCCTCTGCAGTGACTCCCTCTTGCACATTTTTTTTTACTCTGACTCCACCCTTTCACTGAATTACAGGGTCTGACCAGGGAATGGCGCTACTCTTTAGATCTTAATGTCCACAAATCTTGACAAAAAAGAATATTTTAGTATAAAGATTGATGTTTAAAAAGGAATTGTAGGGGATCAGCCAAGGAAAAGTGGGGAAATTTTGAAAGGCTGCTAATGGATGAGACTGAGTCTTTAAAGGAGATTTTTATTCCTGGGATGACTTTGTAATTCTTTTTTGTTTTTTTGGTTTGTTTTTTTTGCTACAAAATATAAATGTTGGTGAAGATTCTCAGTCATCCAGGTCATAGTCATTCCAAAAAAATTAAAAGCAATCCACTGGACTTTTATTTCCAAGTTAAAAGACGTTTCCCTTTACATCCAGGAAGCTTTTAATTACAAAATTACATAAATAGCGTTGAGTTCCAGGATTTATACAGTAGTCCAACAAAACCTTGTTTTGGTTTTGTTTTTATACAAAATAAAAAAAACAAAAAAGTTTTTTAAATTGGTTGTTTGAAGTCCTTAGTCTGCTCAGCCTTGGAGGAGATGGATGCTGCTTCCTCGTAGCATGGGTGTAATCCTAGCATCCTATGTTTTTTCACGTCTTTTGTTCTTTTTATTGAACAAAGACCTGCACGTCACGGAAAATATAAACATTATTATAACTCTGCTGCATTGGTTTATATTCCACTAACTGAAAGTAGGCCCAAATGAAAACTGAAGGTTTTTCCTTTTTCTAGATTTATTCTTTAACAGAGCAGTTTAAGGTCAGTAGAAGCCGTGGACCTTTAGCCTGGATGCTGATGCTGCCCTGCTGCTTTTTTTTTCTCCCCAGGCTAATATAGCCTTGTTTGAGGCCCGCTGCAAGGAAAAAATCCAGCAGTTTGAAGATGCTGGTTCAGACGAGGAGGACATCTGGAATGAAAAAGATGTCACCTTCGCTCCAGAGGCGCAGAGGCGCCCGAGGTAAGCTGGTAAACTCAGGGCCTGCTGAACGCAGCTGGTTTGTGTACTTGGCGCCGCGTGGAGGCGGACCTCAGCATTCTGTGGGTCCTTCCAGGAGTTCAGGCAGCACCGACAGCGAGGAGAGCACGGACTCAGAGGAAGAAGACACCAAGAGGGATCCTTTTGAACCCTGCAACCCCGCCACTGACGACCGCATGGAGGTGGACACAGGTGGGGGAAGCAGTCGTTACTCAGGTTAGGAATGCGTGGCCTCGCTTTGTCATGCAGCATTTGAAGTTTGGACCGAATGTCTGTCTCTGAAGCTCCAGTGTGGACGGCCAACTTCGACGACGTGCCTATGGATACGGGGATGGCAGCAGCTCCCGTCTCCAGCCCCAGCGACCCCGATGCGTCCTCCCCTCTGTCTTCTAGCACAGATGTTCCCCCAGAAGCGGCGTGGAGCTCTGCTCCCGCACCTGCTGCACCAGCCAGCGCAGAGACGGGCTGGGCCGACTTCTCCAGCTTCTCTCCCGTGTGGTACGCTGCCGCCACCGCCTCTACCTGCTTCTCTAACTGCCATCGCCTTAAAATCTGAACCTTTTCTTTCTGTTTTTTAGTCCCAAAGACCCTTTGAGGTGCAACTCTCCCGTTGCCATGGAAACCAGCATAGAAACAGTAGACCCACTGGGGGTTAATGCACCGATGCGTCCTGAAGGTGAGTTTGCATACAGCAACGTCTGTTGCCGTCCGCCTGCAGTGTTGTGACCGAGCTGGTTGCTTTGCTCTGTCAGAATGCGACGGTTGGCTATGCGCTGACGCGGCCCCCCCATCGTCTTCATCGTCGAAGGACTGCGAGGGATCTACGGCAGTGGAAGAAACGTCCTGCTTGGAGCAGCGGAGCATCACAGAGACAGTCATCAACGGTTCCATGAAGGAAACCGTCAGCCTCACAGTCGACGCCAAGACTGAGACCGCCGTTTTCAAGAGGTTCGCCCGGCGCATCCACACTCACTGCTAATACATGGTCACCTCTAAAGCTGCTGACTGACGTTTGATGCCTGCCGTATGTCCCGTCCCGTCTCCCCCCTCCCCTGATTGCTGCTGTTTAGACTACAAAGCCTTCTCTAACCAGTTTTACCTTCTGCAGCATTTTAGGCTTAGGTTGACCTGAAGTCCAGCTCCTCAAACAGCCTTTGGACACTTCATAGTTTCCTTTCCTTATAATGTGACAGTTAGTCCAACACTGAAGGGATCAGTTAGTCCTACATTTATTTTAGCATAAGTATGGAGCCGGGCATACACTGTACAATATTTTCAATTGTTGTAGTGTGTACATCTGGAAGAAGTTTTTGAACCGTTGTACCGTACTGGTACGCTGCAAAAAATTAACATCCAAGTACTTTTTTTTTTCTTAAAACAAGTGGCTTTTCTTTTTTTTTTTATTGAGGAAACTAAGACACTTTAAACTTGTTGGAAATGTTATACATCCTTAGATTCTCCACAGTTCAAATGCCAAGTTCAATTTATGGACACCGTGATCAGCGAAGCAAATAAAGATAAAGATATAGCAGCATGTTAAATCAGAATTCTAAATCAGAAAAAGCTCTGACTTCCTGCCTCCGAAGCATTCCTGAGGCCAGATTATAAATCCAATCTTAGATTGTTTAAATTCCATTTGTCTGTAAGGGTCCACCGATTAAAAAGTAATCCAGCATATTCCTGATAAAAACATCCAATGATGAGAAAATCCCCATAAAGTCAGTTTTTACCATCAGAAAAGTTTGATCCTTATAGCTAATGCTAACCGTCTTGCTAATCACCCTAGCTTTGAAAAAAGGCTTTCTTTTCCCGCTGAGGCTCGTGTGGGGGGAAGAACAAAAAAAGCTGCTGCAGCAAAAAAGCGTAGAAAGTCTTCACGCTTCGGCATAATGGCGGACCGCTAGTCAAACAGCTTAGTCAAACAGTTACGCTTGGAGCCTACATAAAAACTTAATGGCGGAGCGTACACAAAATGTTGAATTGACAAACAAGTAGCCAACACACTTCCACCAATAGCCAAAGAGGATTGGCTAATGGTGTGTAGGCGTCACCACAGCAAGAATTTATGGATTACATTCTTTCTTTTTTTTTGGGTGAGCCATAAGTGCAAGAATGCCATCTATCAATTAAGTCATTTTCGAATGATCTGGACACTTAAATTGTGAGAAAAATCCTCTTTAATACCTTTAAGGATAAATACAATTAATTGTAAGAATTTTGTACGTATTTCTCGATGGTTTTTCTAGCGTAAATCGGCTCGTAGCTCTGCTTCAGCGGCAGGATTTGCTCACGACGGCCGACTGAATTTCCAACATTTTTAATTTTCTCCCGTCCTTATGATTCCTGATGGGGAGGCAGTCATGAGAGGCTAATGGCCCCTCATTATCCCCTGGAGGAGGCTGACAGTCTGCCCGATCCAGAAAGATACTCCCACGACTGAAGAATTGGCCCAAAAAGGGCAAAAACTGGTACGGTGTACGCCCGGCTTAACGGATTCCAGATATGCTGAAGCTTTTCTTCCTCCTTTTACATGTTAAAAACATTTTACACGGGTCTCCATTAAAAAAATAACCATTAATGAATGAGAGCAAACATTAAAGATGGATAGCAAATGGAGGGATGCTAATGCATCGATTCTTGTGAGCCAATGGCCGACTACTGGGCTGATGATCTAACCGGCTGCAGGTTAGCGGAGCTGCAGGAGCAAAATCTTTACATTTCCTATCAGGTCCAACATCAGTCCCCTCCTGTTCAGTTTTTTTATTTATTTAACTGAAGCTGTCTGGTCTCCTATAAGCCCTGTTTTAACACCAATGGAAGGCTGCTAACCCGCTAAACGGCGGTGAAGAAGCCGCGTTTCCTCTCGCTCCTCTGTCCCAGTGTCCTGTTGTTGATGCTGTCTTATGTCTCAGTGAACCTCAGTATCATGATATTTAACGAGCAACCCTCTCTCTCTTGCTGTGCGTTGTGGGTGTGGTCTTCAGAGTGTTGAAATCTTATCGGTATGTACAGCCAATCAGAGACGAGCCTGCAGCCGTAATGTAGTCTTGTTGTCACGTCAACCACCAACTTGTCTTTTCCCAGTTTCTATTTTGCGTTTGTTGTTTTTCTTTCTGTTGTCATTTTCATTCTCTCCATTCTGCATGTTTCTACCAAAGCTGTGTCAAAGTGTTTAGTTAGTTTTGGTTTCATGTTTTTTATTGTTTATTTGGCTTTTTTCTCATCTGCTGAGGCAGCAGGAGCACCAAAGTGCAACGGCACAGGTAGCGAGTTTCTGAACTCCACCTGAATCCTTGACATTTAACCATCGTTAAAATGCTGATTTATGAACGACTCGTCATTTTCTTCCCGCTTTAAAAGAATCCGTCCTTATGCTGTGATTGATGATTTGGTAAAAAAGGCAAATGTTTGCTCATAAAGGCCACAGTGGGCGTCCTGTTCAATAAACGGGAGCCATTACTGGATTCCTTTTCAGTCTGCCATTAATGTAGCTTCTATTAATACTATATTATCAGATATTTCAGCACGGCCTGGCAGTCGGTTAGCAGTACGTCGAGCTAGCCTAGCGGCTCCTGACTGTGACTGGAACGTGGGACTGCGAGGTTCATTCCAGTCTGAGGTGGAAATAAATCTGTAAAGATTTTCTTGTAGAATAGTTGACCCTTATGAACTCTGCTTTAGCTTAGACCTTTAAAGAACGGAGAGCTTCTGCTGAGCCTGCCAGGCAGCCATTACCTCGTTGGATGTTTGTTGGTGTTTTGCTTTGATTGAGTCCTCATCAAGATCTTTGGTGGTTCTCTGAGATAAAGCAAGACTGACGGCTGATCCAATCTGTTTCGGTCCAATCTGTGTCTAAAAGCGATCTCCATGTTTGCTTACAGAGCAACCAATCGAAACCTTCCAAACAATCGACCTTCTCCATTTGCTGTACATTTGAGTGTTCCTAGATTCTCCCCATCTCCATCCCATCACCCTTTGTTGACTGTTTTGTCAGTCCAGCATGCTTCCAGTCTCAAATCTGGCTGTGTTCTGTGTGTGTTGTGGTGACGGCGGCGCGGCACGCGTCCCTTCCTAATGCGTGTCCTCGTCTGTTTCAGCGATGAAGAGAAGCTGGCTTCTGCAGAGAAACACTCGGTGGTGGAGCGTGTGGATTCAGCGGTAAACAGCTTAGCTACAGCCGGCTCTCCGAACACGGGGTCAGACATGAGTCCTTTAACTCACCACACACACACCCACCCACACACACACAAGAACAGCCTGGCATTATTAGTAACAATCAAACCTCCACCATAAAATACTGTTTATCATGGAGGATTTAGCAGTAAACTGTGGGAAAGGTTTAGAAATCTATGTCTAACACTTTGTTTCCAGGTGTTTCAACTGTTTAATCGATTGTGTCAAACCTGTTGGTCAAACTGATTTAAATAAACTCCACTTTTATTTCATTTATTTAGAAAGTACAACAATCATGGTCTGGACAAAGGGCTGCTCAAAATATCATAGAATCTTTAAAACAAAGTTGAAGCTAAACTAGATTTTTTGCGTTGAAATATGAAGAATAAAAATGTGTTTTTAGAGCTTTAAAGGGGCTGGTCTAATTTCAACGGGAAGCTCATTCCTTATGTTACGTTCAGACCGCACGCAGCAGAAGCAGCAAAAACGCACGTGCAGCTTCACTTTTCATGCTTGTACAAGTTTTTTTTATCATTCTCTTTTTATTGAATTTTCTTTCTCCTTTTGTACATGCAGTTTGTGAATACTAAGACATATTTATCCAACACAGTCATAAATTAATATTCACAAAATGTATCCCTATAATGTGATCCCATTTCGCCCACACAGGTCACAACCCAGTAGGTCCATGCACTAAATTTCTATCTCTGAAAGAAGTGGGACACATTTTAAGTAAATTCATTAACTTAATTAAGCTGGAGCCTCATTGTAAGTTTTTGATGCTTGTACCAGTTTAGTTCTGAAGGGCGGGTGAAGCATCTTTACTGCTCTAGCTGTGCGGTGTTAAAGTGGTTCTGATGCGCGTTGGGCGGAGCTACTCTATCCTTTCTTTGCCTGGAACAATGGCAGCTATATTTGCTGTGATCAGTGGGTAGAAAGTAGTTTGAATCTATGTTGAAGTGAGAAAGTCCTCCTGAAAACATGGTCTGTGCAGTCAGTTCATCCAGATTACCATCCTGCCTTCAAAGATTATTTCTCTGTGGGAGCCGCTCAGACCCCCACATACCTGCGCTGTCACTGGGAATCCCCAGCAGCAGCTGCCTCAGGCCCGCTCACCGTCTTGGGGGTTTTCCCCTACTGTTGGTGGCGGCTGGAAGTAGATGTTAGCGTTTTTCAGGTCTGCGCTATAAACTGCAGGCAGCATGATAATAAAAGCGAACATATTCTGCCGGCAGGTTTCTACATTTTAAGTTAATTTAGGCGTTAATAAACTGTTTCAGAGGAGTGATCATAGCGCTCTGCATCAGCAGTGCTGTGTCTGACTCCTTGCCAGCTCCCAGATCAGCTTCTCTGATTGGTTGATGTGGCGCCTCGTCCAGCAGATAAAGTTCAGTTTTTCCAATTCTAGCAGCTGCTGCTTCTGAGGCTCCTCAGAAGCTCATGAGGTGCTGCTCCTGCTGCTGCTCTAAACGCACTGCAGGACCTTTAAATGCACCTTGATGCGTGTCAACTATTGACTTTGCATGTAAAACAGCTGCTTCTCCTGCAGCTGCTGCTTGCGGTCTGAACATAGCATTAGCCTAGGAGCAACGACGCGAAAAACCTCGGTGCCTCTAGGAGCAGCTGATCAGAGAGGCAAGTTCGAGCAAGACCACATAAACTTGTTACTCTCTTCCAGAGTGTTTAACCTAAAGGCATAAAACCAAAAGATCGGATAGAGGATCATTTTCTGAGCTGATTGACGCTAAGATAAAAGAACTCTTCACCTTAGGCCCTGCTCATAGTGGGATTTCACACGGCTGATCCGGCTGTAAGCTGGCTGAGCAGGCAGAGGAGCTTCTCTGCCTGCATCACAGTGATCAGATCAGTCCCGCTCATGCAGCACGTCACCACAGGTCTCCTAACATTCCAGCTAAACCTCCCATTATATCAACATCACCACAGCTGAGTTACCAGTTTTCTTTTTTATGTCGGCTACAAACTCTTGATCAGCTGACTTATGGAGGCTAATCCAGAATAGCTCAGAAACAATGTGGGATTAAACCAATTAAATTCAGCAACAACACACTAGTTTAAAAACAGATGGCGTGATGCATGAATGTGACTGCACTGAGGCTAAATACACAACTTTATCGTTCTTACAACAGATTTCGGTTTTCTTTGTTTTTTATATTATGCATAATCCAGTTTCTGTGCTTTTTTTTCCATTGGGGTCTCTACTACTACTATAGGTCCAAATGCTCTTAAAAAAAAAAACCTCCAGTGGTAAAGGAAAAGTCCGGTCAGCAAAGAATAATCAATGGATCATTATTTATACCTAAAACTAATACGTTCTCGGTTATTTAATGAATTAAGCGTTAATCAGTAAAAAACTAAAAATAATTTTCATGGCGATCACTGAGTCTGGGAGCGGCCATCTTTGCTCAAATATATAACCCCTCCCTCCTGCCATCTTCCAGCAGTGATGTCACGGTGCGGTAAGCCTAGCGCCATTCTCCCCGCTTTACAAGCTAAATCAATGGGAACTACTAGACACATCTGCAATCAACAACAATTATTGAAGATTTCCAGAGGACTTCACCATTGAAATTCACCAGAGCTATAGTGAAACTGACAATGCCCACGTGCATGGCAGCTGGATGTTTGCCATCAAACTTCTGGCCAGAGAAAAAACACGTAATATGTAGCCAACATTTGGAAGAAGAATGTTTTCAAGATGACTTGGATAATAGCGCGTTGTGACAAACAGCAGATACAGCACTGGGACTTGATCAACAGCCGATACCGCACCGTGACGTCACAAACCAGTAGTAATACAACTATTCCTTATTTGTGCACATTATGTTTTTGATCAAAATCCTTTGGCTAAAATGCCATCAGAACGCTGATAATAAGTGTGTCTCAGCACCCCCTCCAGCAGAACCAGGCTCAGTGTGAGCGGCCATCTGCTGGGGTTCAAGGAGACAGAAGCAGACATAGAAAAAGAAGCATAGATACAAAAGGCAACTGTCAACCAGCTCCACAGGCGGCCCCGTCCAGGAAACACACAGCCAGGCAGACGAGCTCCGAGCCAGCTCCCATGTCAGAGGATGAAGAGAACACATCCAGTTAGTCACAGTCAGAGAAACAGGACTACACTGAAAAACAGGCCAAGCTCCAACATCTAGAAACAAAGGTGTTGTCAGGATAACCTGAGCCACTCTAACTATAAGCTTTATCAGAAAGGAAACACATGCAGTCTCTTATTCTAAGTGTATTTTATTTAATTATCCTATTTTAAGGGTAAACCTACTCAGTCCATTGGCAGATCATCTTATTTACTTACTCAAATGAAGGGCAAAATACACTTATTTTCAGACCAGTTTTTGTAGTGTGCTAATCTAGATGTGCTGTTGTTGTTTAGTATCACTGATGTTACACGTCTTTCTCTTGGCAGTGAGAAGTGTCGGCCTGTGGCGGAGCTTCCTAATGGTCCTCTAAAAGAAATGTCCAGCATAGAGGAGGCAAAGTAAGTCTGACCTCATTATCGCTCCCATTTCTTTGATTTTGGATGTTTGGAAAAATAAAATAAAATCCTGGATGCCATACAGGACACTTGTGTGTTTTTGACATGTGAGGGACTAAACGCCTCAGTAAAGACTTTCGAAGAACGCTTCCTTTTAAAGAATTAATAGCAAAATTTCATCGCACTTCAAAATGTTAAATTACCTGTTTTAGATCCAAAAACCTCCAGCCATCCCACTAATCCTTAAAAAGCCCTTAATTGAATTCTACAATAAGGCCTTAATTGGTGTTAAAAGTCTTCATTCTTTCATAAGTTTTAAGACTGTTTTCACACCATAAGTAGTATTATTTTTTTGTAATCATATCAAATATTAAAATCGATAATTTTTTACATTTAGTGAACGGCTCTCTGGAACCATTACTGGTTCCGTCCCGATAGCGGAACCAATAAAAACCATGCAGTTGTCATACCTTGATTGATGCGCTGCTAACTTTTGATCTGGACAACATGGGGAAGTGGAAATTCAACCATCCAGCCTGGAGCTCAAACTGGACCCCTGCAAAGGTTACGGGTCCAGAAGGACGATGCCAAGGGCTTCAGAGTTAAAGCCAAACTACTACGTCCACTTTTGGTTAATAAACTATACTAGACCTGTTTCTGGATTCTGCGCCATTTCCCTTTTTCCTCTGATCACAGAGCAGCCGTCTTGGATTCGCAATGAATCCTGGGATATCATAGGCTAGATAGGATGCAGTGGACCCGTCCTTGAAATCGGGCAAAAATGACACATTTGTCGGCCTCATAACGAGGAGTCTTGGAATCCGACCAGACCGCGGCGTAATCTGCCTTCTGAGGACGCAGCCCATGAATTCTAACAGAGCCACTGGCTGGCCATGAGGAGCGTCTCACTGCAGTCCTGTTAGCCTGGAAAAAATCCCTAATTTTTTTAATGATAAAATCGGGATTTATTTTAAATTTTACCTGCAATTAAATCCCTTAATTTCTTACAATAAAAGTGAGATTTGATATGTTTGAACATTTAATAAAGTCTGTTTTGGTTCCAGGCTGAGCTCTAACTAATGTAGATCTGCTCCTTTTCTAGGCTGGACAGGAATTCTGTTTCCTCGGAGAACGCCATAAACGGCCCAGCGTGAGGACCCGGTGTACTGAAGGCCAGCTCGTTCCCCCCTGCAGAGGGCAGCACTCAAAGCTGAACCAATCACACGTCCCAACAGGACCAGCAATACTCCCATTGGCTCATTATTGATGGAAAGGCCAGCAGGTGTACAGAATGATCCCAAAAGCAAAACGAGAGATGGACTCAGGCGCATAGAGAATAATTTTTTTCTGCATTTGTTTATATACCGTTGTTCCTATGAGGTGATGTGCGACTGATATCTTGACACTCGAAATGAAATAGTAATGTTGCTATAGTTAAAGACATGATTGTATGAATAAAATATTTTATGAAAACAAAAGGTTTACTGAGACATGCTGAATAAGACGGAGCCGCAGGATGGGATGTTTCTGCAGGCGTTCTGCCAGTGTGAGCATTTTTTTTTCTTCTATTATAAAATCAGAATGCCTTTTTTTTCTGTGGCTAAAGATTACTCTTTCCAGTGAGCTGCATTCAAGGTGAGAGGTTTTTAAAATGTTCTCACAGCACGATTAGCTGTTAGTTTGGATGATTAGAACCAAAACATCTGGTAACTGGGAGCTTCGCACTTTAGTACCTGGAGTTTAACCTGATCTGCCAACTTGTTTCAGCCAGCTGACAAGCAGTGCTGCTTCAATCTACGCTTCCTTCATTTTCAGCAGCAGAATTTGATTCTCAGCTGAAGAAAGACGAGGCTGGAATATGTTTAGCGCTACTTTATAAAAGCAGAAGGTCTGGTGTTGGTTTAGCTCTGAGGCAGATCAAGCTTCTCATCTGAGTGTCTGAATGAAACCAGGGAGCTGATTGGAGCTTTCAGAGGAAACAGAAGCAAATCAAACTATTAGCATCATGGAAGAAGTGGAGTATTAATGGAGAGCGGACTAATAGAGGAAGCTAAGATCAGAAGCTGCAGATCTGCCTGTTTCCCTGAGTAACGGCATCAGAGCAAATGACAGAAGCCGATAAAGAAGGTGGACTGGTTAAAGAACTAGTTATTCATAAAAAGAGCTTTCAAAAGTATTAATGTTAATTACTCCAGTAGAAGTATAAATCTTACTGTTTTAAACGACAAAGTATAAAAGTAATGCAGGAAAAAATGTTAAGGACAGAAGCCTTACTGCTCTACCCTATTGAAGGAAAATTTTTCTACATTTAACTTTCAATCATCTTCATAAATTATTTTGGTTTGTGGTGAGCAACAAGTTGGGGCAGCACAGAGTCCAACTACAAAGAAATTGTCTGGATGAAACTGATTATTTTGATTGTTTTTTTTTGTTTTTTTTTAAATACCAACAGGCTATAATGAAAATGAGCCTAAATGAAACTAACGGTTGTCTAAAGAATAATTACTTTAGTTCATAAAGTGAACATTATGGACTATAGTGAGCATCCTGGTACGATGCGGTGAGTAAAGAGGGCAGATTTAATCCTGTCTGTTTTCTCAGGGATCAAACAGGAATAGTTTCTCTAATGCTGATCAGGATTCAGTTTTCAACAATAAAACCAAACATCTAGTTTGGTTGTTTTTCACTCGGATTTAATTTATCAACAGATCTCTGCGTGTAAGCTGCCTAAAAGCTTTAAGAAGGTTAAATATTAACACAGGAATTACGAGGTTTGAACGGGAGGTTGCGCTTTTATTTTGAAATGAGAGGGTTTAGCAGGGGGTGTGCTTTTATTTTGAAACCTGGGGGCCAGGATTTGTATGGGGTGCCGTATGTAAAGTTAAGCAGTCAAAAATTAGGAGCACTATTTGCTTATTTAGTGAGTTTTAAGAGGGAAAAAATTTGTTTATTTTTTTTATAAGTCATTTTTTTCACTAGGTCTTTCATTCTTTTATAAAAAATCTTACTCTGTTAAATATTTAGTTTGGAGCTAAATATTTAGTTTGTTAAATAAATATTTAGCTCCAAACTAAATATTTACTTTGCTAAATAAATATTTTACTTGCAGCTAAATATTTATTTAACAAACAAAATATTCAGTTTGGAGCTAAATGTTTATCAGACTAAATATTTAGTTTGTTAAATAAATGTCTTACTTGAAGCTAAAAAAAAATAAGTTTGGAGCTAAATATTTAGCTCCAAACTAAACATTTATTGAACAAAGTAACGTTTTATCAATAAATGAATGAATTAGTGAAAAACGGAGTAACCATCAATATTTCGGACTGCTTAACTGTACTTCCTGCTGCGGCTGTTACGTCACCTCCTACGTTGAGTCGTAATGATAACGCGTCTTTCGTCATGTTCACTTATGCATTTATCCCGATGTGAAATATGCAGGATAGGTACAATGAGATAGGCTTCGCTCAGCAGATCCTCGGCTTGAATTTAGTCCCGAGGAAAAACAGCACCCTGCGAGGGAACGACACCTCCCTCAGCGACTTCTCAGGTAACCCCCGCTTAGCTGCTAGCTGGCTAACTAGCTAACTAGCTAGCTAGCCACCCAGGCGGTGTTTACAGACTGTAGCCCGATAAAGTTCCCCGTTTCACCGATGACATTTCCCTCATAGAGGTCTCTAAAATTATACCGACTTTAAAGTGGGAGGGGCTACATGTTAGCCTCAGGGCGACAGCGTCGTTAGCTAGGCTAACTTTCTGTTTCCTGTAACTTCTTTTTTCCTCTGAGTGTGAAAATGGTGAAAATCCAGAAGCTGTTAGCAGAGTGTGCATCAGTGAAAGGCTGGATGAACTTCAGTCATGGCTGCTTCATCACATCTGTTTAGCTAAAGTCATAATAATATTCTGTTTTGGTTTTAAACTTGGTTGTTTTAGTGAAGGTCAGATAAAAGGTGTAAAAAATGAAATGTGTAGAAATGACTGCTTGTTAAAGTTGCTCTGCTGCTTTAATTCCGATATTCTTCTTAAACGATCAGAGTTTTTCCTCATCAGATTCTTTTTTTTTTTTCTCCTCTGGTCCTGGATGCTGGGAAGATTTTACTGATATATTTTTTTTGGTGGGGTGTTGGTTATCGTTACCATAGCAACCATTGCAAGTTGTGTTTGTGAAACTGAGGGCAGCTGATTAATATTTGAAAAGCTGAAATCATGCTTCCTCTACATCTCCAAATTCCAAATGAGTTCTGTCAGACCAGCATACCCACCGTCAGACCAGCATACCCACTGTCAGACCAGCATACCTAGAGTTTCAGGGGTTCTGCGGGTCATTAAAAATGATTAAATTATTGTTATTTAAATAAAGGCGTTAATTAGCATTAAAATCCATGAAATGTGATTATTGTGGTATTTAAAATGCTTTATTTAAAAAAGAAATAAAAAAAAGATCTCTTCAGATATATCGCAATGCATTTGCATTGAACTGCTTCCAGTCGTCCGGAAAAGAAGCTCGAAGCGGAGAAAAAGCTAGAGAATGGGAAAATGCAAATTACAACAGAAGTGGCTGAAAAACGAGGCATTTGGGACATGGCTGCAGCCTGTTGACGTGTTATTTATATTTATATATATATAGAGAGAGAGAGAGTTTGAGTGAGTGAGTCATGGATACTTGTTGATGGTATTAAAATTATTTATGTACTGAGTCAAAGCAGTAGCTATTCTTCCTGGGTTCTTAACAATTTTAACAGATATTAAATCAAAGCTGTGTAACAATGAAGCCAAATACAGAAGTATACACAAAACTATACAACTTCTATATATAACATACACACAGATACACAGAACAATATAGTGTGAGCTCTTTTATGTACAAAACATTACCACTCTCTGGGTATTAGGTAAATTACAAAACATTTCAGTTACTAGTGCTCGTTGTGAAGGACTTAAAGGAGAATTCCGGTTTTTAACACTTTAAGCCCATTTTCTGTAGTGTCCAGGATGAAATCGAATGATCGACACCAAAATTTTGACAATTGGTCCTGTCTCTGCTTTTTGGCTCATTTAGAATCCACCCCTGGCTGCTTCAGAATGGCTTCCATTGTGCATGTCCGATAATGTCCTTAAAACAACCTTAAACGTTCTTTTTTTTAAATATGCTACTCACCGGGTCGTCAGCGCTGTTCAATGACGTTCCAAAAAAAGTTTCGTGAAGAAAAAACGTTCCTGTAGTGTTTTATTTAGCATTTTGTAAATCCCATTGAGTTCTGTTGGAATAGTCAATATTCCCCTGCCACCGGAAACGGAAATGGGGCCTGTTTACACAGTTGTAGTCTTTTCGCTTCACTCTGTGTACTCCGACGTCGAGGTGCTAACGTCTCTAAACTCTGAAAATGGAATAAGAAAGGTGGATTCTTTATTCTCGACGTCGGAGTACACAGAGTGAAGCGAAAAGACTACAACTGTGTAAACAGGCCCCATTTCCGTTTCCGGTGGCAGCGGAATATTGACTATTCCAACAGAACTCAATGGGATTTACAAAATGCTAAATAAAACACTACAGGAACGTTTTTCTTTACGAAACTTTTTTTGGAACGTCATTGAACAGCGCTGACGACACGGTGAGTAGCATATTTTAAAAAAAGAACGTTTAAGGTTGTTTTAAAGACATTATCGGACATGCACTATGGAAGCCATTCTAAAGCAGCCAGGGGTGGATTCTAAATGAGCCAAAAAGCAGAGACAGGACCAATTGTCAAAATTTTGGTGTCGATCATTCGATTTCATCCTGGACACTACAGAAAATGGGCTAAAAGTGTTAATAACCGGAATTCTCCTTTAATTCTGTAAATGTTACAGTTGAGCCTGATTTATACTCAGAAACCAGGTCGTCTGCGTGTGTCGCAGGTAATGCAGATATGCCCCGCCCCCCGCCGCAGACACTCTGCTGCTCCTCTCCAAAAGTGTAGGTGACGGCAGACAGGAGGCCTCTGATTGGTCAGATCTCCATCCGCTCTACACTATGCCTATTTCCTGTTTGTTTCCTTACTGCCTAGTTTTGTTTGTCTGACCGCCATTGTGGAAAACGACTGAAGATGGAGCAGCTAGAAAAGCGAAAACGCTGGGACCCTTTTTCCACCTGGATCCCCGCTCGTTTTGGCCCTCATGTCCCTCCGTTGTCGGACAAACACCGCCTCGGCCGTATCTAGACCCACAGCTAGTTCCTGATTGGCCCTCTGGCGTTGTGGCGTGGAATAACATAGCGCAGACCACGCTTTAATATTGGGCAGAAATCCAAAATATCTGCGACTTACTGCTGCAGGAGGAGAACCAGGCCTTTACTCCAAAGTAAATAAAGTTTAAGCCTTTTGGAAAAGCTAACATCGTACATCCCTGAAACCAAGGATTGCTGCCTACTCTATAAAAATCCTCAGCCCTGTTGTCCCGCCCTCAGCAGGTCCAGTGGCTCCTCCTGGTGCCAGAGATCATGTAGCAACGTTTTGCAATCAGTTAGTGGAGGATGAGGATTTAATTAAAGCCGGTAGAACCTCTTTGTACTTCCCACTGGTTTGATTTTTCACGTCATTTTTAAGTTTTATTTCATCCGTGACTTCCTGTCAGGCCTCCTGTGGGACGATGGTCTTTGTTTTCATTAAATGCTATGATGTCCTTTGTGATATCAAGTTAGAATTTTGATGCATTTTATTGTTTGGAGTTGCTTTTATTAGACGTAGACATATTTTATTGTCATTTTATATACAGAGTGTATACAAAACAAAATTTCTATGAATACAACTTTTTAACAGTGAATGAGCAGCTTAGCAGTGAAATGAACATTTCCATTTACAAAATGCAACAGAGGTTAGAATGTAAACCTTGTCGGAGAGAAGGAAACCAGTTAAACCCTTTATAGGGCGAGTTAGCATTTTTGATCCCTTGTATACCCTTTACTTTACAGTGGAAGGTTCAGTACAGTGGAAAATAAATAAATATGCTGCAAAATGCAGTAGAAACACAGGGGGATTTAAAGATTCGCCATGTAGTGCAAATATGATGATATCAGTTTGATGTAGAGTTCCGATTTTTGGCTTGGTTAGTATTTGAACAGTTCATCAGTCTGATGGCGGTGGGGAAGAAGCTGTTGCAGAACCTGCTGGTCCTGCATTGAATGCTGTGAAGCCTCTTTCCAGAGGGCAGCAGGGAGAACAGTCCATGGTGGGGGGGTGTCTTCCTTTAATCATGTACAAACAAACAATTAAATGACTTACTGTAAAGGAATAGTACACCCAAAACATGAATAGTCTTCATTTTCTACTCACCCCCATGCTGAACAACACTCTGGAGTACTTTTTTGATATCTCAAATGCATCTGGAGATCTGGGAGGCTTCTTGCTGTCTGCTGACATTCAAATAATGGAGGTCTATGGTGACCGAGACAGAAAGGTCCATAAAAGTCCACAAAAAACGTGTCAATATTCCTCCATACTGCTCGTCCAATGTATTCCAAGTGTCCTGAGTGGTTAGCATCCATAATTTACTCGAAACGAAGTCATTTAGGATGTTTTTAGAGCATAAACAGTAGTGTATAGGATTTCCTGAAAGCGCGCACCTGCGCGATCACGACGCTACGGAAGCCGGCAGACCAAACCAGATGAAAGTGCGCATTCAGCGTCTGCTCTGCCAATAATGCAAGCGTAGAAGAAGAAATGTGCCGTTTACCTGTGCAAAGAAAGAAACAACGAAAGAAAAATGTCTGAGGACTTCAGTGTTGAGGAAGAGCATGAGTTCTTTGCCGAGCTGAATGCGCGCTTTCATCTGGTTTGGTCTGCCAGCTTCCGTAGCGTCGTGATCGCGCATGTGCGCGCTTTCAGGAAATCCTATACACTACTGTTTATGCTCTAAAAACATTCTAAATGACTTCGTTTCGGGTAAATTATGGACGCTACCCACTCAGGACACTTGGAATACATTGGATGAGCAGTATGGAGGAATATTGACACGTTTTTTGTGGACTTTTATGGACCTTTCTGTCTCGGGCGCCATAGACCTCCATTATTTGAATGTCAGCAGACAGCAAGAAGCCTCCCAGATCTCCAGATGCATTTGAGATATCAAAAAAGTACTCCAGAGTGTTGTTCAGCATGGGGGTGAGTAGAAAATGAAGGCTAATCATGTTTTGGGTGTACTATTCCTTTAAGGTGTTTTTTGAAGCATATGGAGATCTCACCTTAAGTAGTTTTTAGTTTAGTTTAAAGTCTATTTTTCATACAAAACTAAAGGCATATACGGGGATAAATGGGTATTGGCACGGGGTATGCTGGCCTGACGGTAATGTGATTAGTGCTGCAACTAACAATTATTTTGCTAATGAATGAATCTGTTGACTATTTTTACAGTGAATCCATTAATGATCAGATGGTAAATGATGGATCAGATTGATCGATGAAACGTTCTTTTATCTTGGAGGCAAAATATTTATACTTATTTTTGCAATCTTTTTATAATTGCTGCTCTCAGTGGGTCGCTGTGTCAGCTGAAGGCGTGTTCTACCGTCTCTATTCTCCAGTTAACGATTAATGGATTACTGAGTTAGCGGGTGATTATTTCATTAATCTGATGAATAGTTTCAGTCTTAGATGTGATGCATGCGGCGCCTGTGGAGCGGCGTGATGGAAGTCACCGCCTGTTGTTTTATCTTCCAGAGATGTGGTACGGCATGTTCCTGTGGGCGGCGGTGTCCTCTGTCATCTTCCACCTGCCTGCCGCCCTGATCTCCCTCGCCACGCTGCGGCAGCATAAGATCGCCAGGTTCATGCCCATCGCCATCCTCCTGATGGGAGTTCTGGGACCAGTGTGCGGGGGGGTTCTCACCAGTAAGTTTTCCATCTGAATGTGTGTTTTTGATTGGGCCTCACCAGGCGGGGCCTGTTTATGGGTTTGCTGTCATTTCTTTCCCCTGGCGCCATCTTTCCTCCTAACCAAATCATGTGTCTGTTCTTCGCTCCTTCAGGTGCCGCCATCGCCGGGGTGTACAAAGCGGCAGGAAAGACGATGATGTCCTTCGAAGCGTTTGTTTTTGGAGTGGGACAGTCCTTTTGTGTCGTCATCATCTCGTTTCTCAGGATACTCGCCACCCTTTAGCAGCGCTGGGCTCGTCGCTTCGCTCCTCCCGTCGCTGCTCCGGTTTCCCAGCAGAAGATGGAAGCAAGATGGACGGCTGTGGAACCCAAAGACCAAATCCAGCTCTGGGCTATGATGTCATTTCGTTGTGGTCTTAACATGCCGGGCGTTCCAGAGCCCTGGAAGACTTTGTGATCTTTAACTTTCTGCTCCACTGTTTTCTCATAAGTTGGTTTGAAGAAGGAAACGCTGCGACGGGATCAGCAGCAGTCTGCTATGCAGGGTGTGGGAGGGAGAGGGTGGCGGCTCTGCAGGAGGGGGACACTCACTCCCTCAGGGGCTGGCTGCGTGCATGCGTGTGTGTGGGTGTGTGTGACAGGCTGCTGCACTGTTAAACCAAAATGTGACGTTCGGATGCAAAACTCCTGCTTTATCTCTTGAGGCCTTATTTCCTTTTTTTCCGTTTCTAAAGTTGTTAAACATCTGGAGCCCGAAGCAGCAGCTCTTTATCCTGCCGGCTCGCTCCTCCTCAGATCACAGCGCCTGACGGCTGGATGTGACCACAGCCCTTCATCGGCTGCTTTGCCTTTGAGCTGGGCTTGCTGCCACGGTAACGAAGTTTGTTCCTACAGTATTGGAAGCTGAGGCCAGAAGCTGATTCCTGCTCAGACCAACGTTTATCGGATCCACTTTTCTGAAGACGGCGACGCTCCGTGGATAGGGTCAGGCCCTCCATCTGCTGGGGCCGATCCTGATCTGCATTCAGCCGATGAAGATCAGGCTGATTGCGTGAAGATAGAGCCGGCGGCGAGCTCGCCGTCCTGATGGACGTTCAGGTGATGAGCAGCTTTGTGGGACGTCACTCTGGGTTCTTCAGTGTTCTGAGGTTAAACCCGCTTCCTGGCGCCCTCTTAGACCTGTTTGGTTCTGGATGGTTCTGTTCTGCTGCTCAGCAGGTCTACAGTGAGGCCCCGCCCCATGCCCCGCCCTTCCTTACAGACTGTTTCATATCTTTGAGCTTTCAGATGGATTGTACATTTTCATGTTTTTTGACAAAGATCTAAATGTCTCTATTTTTCTGCAGATTCTATTTTTCTGTGTATATTTTGCTTCCTCTGCCGTCCTAACCCCCACCTGTTTATCAGATTAAATGAATTAATAATCCACCTTCTTCTCTGTCAGGTTATGAATTCCTTTTCTTCCTGACATAAAGATGCCTGCTTTAGTTTTTTATGTATTTATTAAGTTGTTTTTATTTAATGTCTGTGAAGCGATGAATAAACTGGTTGTTTTAAAACGAGTCCTGTTTTAATGAGACTTGGTCCCACCGTGTCCTAAAGGTGACCTGGATCACCTTTAAATAAGCCGCTGCCATCAGTGAGAGTTTTTTACACAGATGCGTCATGTTTTCCTGCAGTCATTTAATCGTTAAACCATTTCTGTAAAACAATGGATTTCTTTATGTGGAAAATGGAAGTTATAAGATATTTAATTTCACTTCAGATCAAATAAAGTCTTTTTAAACTGAATTGAACTTTAAACAGCTTCCTAATCTGGATTTAATCCAACTAATTTAGTTTTCTGGGATTTTTTTTTCTCTCCAAACTAATGGAGCAAAAGAACTAAAAGGTGGCAGCGTCTGGATCAGCTGTCTGATCTACTTTCTATAGCTCTAGTGAGGACGCAGCGTCTGGATCAGCTGTCTGATCTACTTTCTATAGCTCTAGTGAGGACGCAGGCGGCAGCGTCTGGATCAGCTGTCTGATCTACTTTCTATAGTTCTAGTGAGGACGCAGGCAGCAGCGTCTGGATCAGCTGTCTGATCTACTTTCTATAGTTCTAGTGAGGACGCAGGCAGCAGCGTCTGGATCAGCTGTCTGATCTACTTTCTATAGTTCTATTGAGGACGCAGGCAGCAACGTCTGGATCAGCTGTCTGATCAGCTGATGTGATCTACTTTCTATGGTTCTAGTGAGGACGCAGGCAGCAGCGTCTGGATCAGCTGTCTGATCTACTTTCTATAGCTCTAGTGAGGACGCAGGCAGCAGCGTCTGGATCAGCTTTCTGATCTACTTTCTATAGTTCTAGTGAGGACGCAGGCAGCAGCGTCTGGATCAGCTGTCTGATCTACTTTCTATAGTTCTAGTGAGGACGCAGGCAGCAGCGTCTGGATCAGCTGTCTGATCTACTTTCTATAGCTCTAGTGAGGAAGCAGGCAGCAGCGTCTGGATCAGCTGTCTGATCTACTTTCTATAGTTCTAGTGAGGACGCAGCGTCTGGATCAGCTGTCTGATCTATTCTCTATAGTTCTAGTGAGGACGCAGCGTCTGGATCAGCTGTCTGATCTACTTTCTATAGTTCTATTGAGGACGCAGGCAGCAACGTCTGGATCAGCTGTCTGATCAGCTGATGTGATCTACTTTCTATGGTTCTAGTGAGGACGCAGGCAGCAGCGTCTGGATCAGCTGTCTGATCTACTTTCTATAGCTCTAGTGAGGACGCAGGCAGCAGCGTCTGGATCAGCTGTCTGATCTACTTTCTATAGTTCTAGTGAGGACGCAGGCAGCAGCATCTGGATCAGCTGTCTGATCTACTTTCTATAGCTCTAGTGAGGACGCAGGCAGCAGCGTCTGGATCAGCTGTCTGATCTACTTTCTATAGTTCTATTGAGGACGCAGGCAGAAACGTCTGGATCAGCTGTCTGATCTACTTTCTATAGTTCTATTGAGGACGCAGGCAGCAGCGTCTGGATCAGCTGTCTGATCTACTTTCTATAGCTCTAGTGAGGACGCAGGCAGCAACGTCTGGATCAGCTGTCTGATCTACTTTCTATAGTTCTAGTAAGGACGCATGCAGCAGCCTCTGGATCAGCTGTCTGATCTACTTTCTATAGCTCTAGTGAGGACGCAGGCAGCAGCGTCTGGATCAGCTGTCTGATCTACTTTCTATAGCTCTAGTGAGGACGCAGGCAGCAGCATCTGGATCAGCTGTCTGATCTACTTTCTATAGCTCTAGTGAGGACGCAGGCAGCAGCGTCTGGATCAGCTGTCTGATCTACTTTCTATAGCTCTAGTGAGGACGCAGGCAGCAACGTCTGGATCAGCTGTCTGATCTACTTTCTATAGTTCTAGTAAGGACGCAGGCAGCAACGTCTGGATCAGCTGTCTGATCTACTTTCTATAGCTCTAGTGAGGACGCAGGCAGCAGCGTCTGGATCAGCTGTCTGATCTACTTTCTATAGCTCTAGTGAGGACGCAGGCAGCAACGTCTGGATCAGCTGTCTGATCTACTTTCTATAGCTCTAGTGAGGACGCAGGCAGCAACGTCTGGATCAGCTGTCTGATCTACTTTCTATAGTTCTAGTAAGGACGCAGGCAGCAACGTCTGGATCAGCTGTCTGATCTACTTTCTATAGCTCTAGTGAGGACGCAGGCAGCAGCGTCTGGATCAGCTGTCTGATCTACTTTCTATAGCTCTAGTGAGGACGCAGGCAGCAGCATCTGGATCAGCTGTCTGATCTACTTTCTATAGTTCTAGTGAGGACGCAGGCAGCAACGTCTGGATCAGCTGTCTGATCTACTTTCTATAGCTCTAGTGAGGACGCAGGCAGCAGCGTCTGGATCAGCTGTCTGATCTACTTTCTATAGCTCTAGTGAGGACGCAGGCAGCAGCGTCTGGATCAGCTGTCTGATCTACTTTCTATAGCTCTAGTGAGGACGCAGGCAGCAGCGTCTGGATCAGCTGTCTGATCTACTTTCTATAGTTCTAGTGAGGACGCAGGCAGCAGCATCTGGATCAGCTGTCTGATCTACTTTCTATAGTTCTAGTGAGGACGCAGGCAGCAGCGTCTGGATCAGCTGTCTGATCTACTTTCTATAGTTCTAGTGAGGACGCAGGCAGCAACATCTGGATCAGCTGTCTGATCTACTTTCTATAGTTCTAGTGAGGACGCAGGCAGCAGCGTCTGGATCAGCTGTCTGATCTACTTTCTATAGTTCTAGTGAGGACGCAGGCAGCAGCATCTGGATCAGCTGTCTGATCTACTTTCTATAGTTCTAGTAAGGACGCAGCCAGCAGCATCTGGATCAACTGTCTGATCTACTGCAGCGTCGAACCATCATGGGAATATCTGTTTCTACGGCTTCAAAACATCTCATCATCTTTAGGATTAGACAGATGACTTCTATCTGATTTGGATCTGTTAAACCCCAGACTAAAGCAAAGTGGTTCCATCTGATGAAAATGACCCAGATCAGGTTACAGTCTAAACTAACTAAACTAAACAGTTGCATCTAAAGCTTCCAGTTTTGTCCTGCGACCTTCTCCGCAGTCCAGACTGAAAATGATGGTCTCTGCTGTCATGAAAGTACGACTACGACGGAGTATTAGTACGACGGAGTATTAGGGCCACACATGAAGAGAAAAAATATTTTTGCCATGACGAGATTAATCTCGACGTGTCGACTTAAAACTCGCCATTTCAGGAATAAAGTTGATATATCGTGGCGACTTTAATCTCGACATTCCAAAGTTTGGAGAAAAGAGCAACCGCGCTCCACAGCTGCAGTCTGCGTTTTAAGAGTGAAGGTAGTCTTTGACGTGCTGCAACTGTATAACTGTATAATCATCACAGAAAGTACAATTTGACCAAATCATCTACACAAGGCATGTTTGATTCTGGATTCTGTGCATGTAACCTGTGCAGCGGTTGGCTCTCTTGAACTAATTTCAACTTTATTGTCGACACGTCGAGATTAAACTCAACATGACATTTCAACTTTATTCTCGAAATGTTGAGTTTAATGTTTAATCTCGAGTTTAATCTCGTCATGGCAAAAATATTTTTTCTCTTTATGTGTGGCCCTAATATGAAAGGAACCCAACCAAACTTTGCAAAAATAAAATCCAGCCGCTGGTTTAGTGAAGAAAGTTAATCTTTCCGCAGATCTGTGAATGAAATAAAATCTGCAGGCGGTGAGTTTTAGCTACTCTCCAGCAAACCACAGCGTGAAGGAGCTAAAACCAGATAGAAGAATCCAGAAAAAACCTGCTAGACATCAGAGCATTTGATCTTCAGCTGCAGGTGCAACAAGTGTTCCTCTGCTGCCACCTTCAGGACAGAGGCTGTAACAGCAGACACAGGAAGAAAAGCTGAAAAAAGTTAAATTAGACATCATTTTTTCATCCCTTTATGCATTAGTTAATAAAATATTTCTATAGGGATAAAAATCGAGCCTGCAAAGCTGATATCGGCACCTCGTCACTAAAGTCTATGTTTTTATCTTTAGTTAATTATTACCAGTTTATTGGAACAAGGTCCATTCCAGCTCGTTATGGTGGAACATGTCTGCTGATGGGGGGAGTTTAATCTCAGGTGTATTAACACTACCGTGGACCCAGTGGAGCCATCCGGGCCAACAGAACCACGTTATGTGGAACATCTGGTGACAGATGTTTTCATCCAGCAGCTGTGGAGGTGGATTCAAGCAGAGGTTTAGTGGGAAAGTGAAACCTTTACTGTTGATGGTTAATCAGTAGCAGATGTTCTGGGTGTGTCTGAATGGATAATAGTCCAGCTTTCTTTCTGACGCATGAAGGAACGATCAGTCGTTTAGTCTGTGTTTGACGGATCAGATTTAATACCAGGTCCAGATTTCTTCTGTTTCTCCCAGAAGGATCCATACTGAGGTGCAAACTTCCACCTGAATCAAACACTTTGATCACATTTCAAATATCAAGATTTAGATTTTTTTCTCTGAGGTTTAAAAAAACACAAAGACATCAGAACAGAATGAACTCTGATTATTGTATTTTATTTAAATCACACCAAAGTTTGGATGAATCTACATCAACCTCAGAAACAAGAATGGAAACAGCAATCGCCTTTAAACACGTGTTTGGATGGAGCGCTGCACTCTGGGACAGAGAAGACTGCTTCCTTCACCGGACGGACTGGTCCTCCATCCTCCTCCAGATCCACCTCCACTCTACTCCTTCTTCTTGTAGTCTTCCAGGTGAGCCAGGATCCATCCAGAGGGAACCAGGATGGAGATGAAGAAGGCGCTCATGGCGATGGCCTGCTCCTATGAACCAATCACAGCAACATTTTACACCGGACTCCAAAAACTGATGACAGAACATCAAACCTTCCTGTTGTGGCCATTTAGGCTACATTTCTGTCATTTTTACCTATTTAGTTTTCTTCTTTTGGTAATTAGAATATATTTACATTAATTTAGAACCACAATTTATTTTTTATATTTGGAATTGTTTAGATGACATTGTTAATTGTTAGACCCT